TTTGAAGACCGCTACTACAGCACGCAAGATGTCCCTCCGCCTCTTCGGTACGTTCCTTATCAAGCCGGCGCCAGAGGACTTAGCCCGATTCCCAGTGTTTCCGGATACACGGAAGCTGGCAGTGAAGCACCACTACCCCGGGATTCCATGGAAATGCCCTCCCCAGCCAAGTCACCTGAACGAACTCGTCAACACTTGTCCTTGCAATCAGATGGCTCTGCAGGAGGCAACGTGCGCAGCCGGGAATTCGACCGGGCCTCTGCAGATGGCGGAGAGCAATTTGATGAGACTGCTACTGGTCAGGCTGTTCGAGGAATCGCGGCGAACCCCAACTTTGTTCATTCTCCCATTGGTGTCGAGTCTGCGGTTGCGTCTCTGGTAGATGGATCAATGCTCGACCAATCTGTCATTACTGGAGCTTCGGGATATGATCAAAACGCTGCCAGGGATTCAAATGTTTCATACGAGGAACAACCCAGGCCTGAGATTTCTCCCAACATCGACAGCCCTGAGAAGATGGACGTTAATGACCCTCGTGAACCAGAGGACGAAAGACAAACTACACCAGGGTCCAAGTCCGTGGCTCAGTCTCAGGAATACGCAGAGTATGATGTTGATGAGTATGGGAGAAAGGTACCTCGAACCAAGTATCGACACTCGCCGACTGCATCGGAAGCCGCCATCACAGCTGGCGCAGTTGGCGCAGCAGCAGCAGCGTTGAAAGCTGCAAAGGAGAGGAAGCAAGCAGTAGCCTCAGGACAGTTCGTGGAGGACTTCCAGCCCGCTGGTGTGGCTCGAAATAGATCCTTCAAAGAGAGAACCATGCAACATGGCTGGGAGCCACGTAACACTCCAACTCACAGCATTGATAGACTGGACCTCGAAGAACATCCAAAGCTAGGTGCCAGTGGTCTGCCTGACATGGATAATCCTATGCCAGAAATTGGATATGTCGACGATGAGCTGCAGACCAATCCCTCGTTGATCGAAGAGCGTCTTGACGGCGAGCCCGCCCATAAGGACTGGTCTGGTAGGGCAACACCAACACAAGGAGAGATGAGCGGGTATGCTCCAGAGGCCAAGGGCAAGGAAGCTGGAGCAGGAGGGCTTGGAGTTGCTGAGGCCATTGGAGCTGCCGCATTGGGAGCTGCCGCAGGCATGGCTGCCACCCACAGTAATGAAGCGAGCCAAGATCAGGATGAATGGCACCGTACATCTGACGAGCGGAAACGGGACACTCTGCTTACCAATCCATATGAAGACGCGAGCCCTATTGTGAATCCTGAGCTCAGTGAAAAGTTGCTCAGCAGAGGACTCGAAGTTCCGTTCAACACCGGCAGTCCTGGTTTTGGTCAAAAGTACGACGAGGGCTACATGTCAAACGGTCCGAACCGGACCCCTGATCCGCAGGCGAAGGGCAAGGCGGTTGATTTTAATGCTGCTGTAACAGACGACGATCCCTTCTATGTGCCCAAGTCTCATGCTCGGCACATGAGCGGCATGTCCCAGGGCATGGCCTCGCCATTCTACGACGCCGCCACAGGTGCGGGTATAGAACGCATCGAAAATAAAGACATCCTAGCCTTGATGCAACACGTAAGTTACCCCGACACACCCAGCAGCAAGGCCGTATAATCCCGCATCTTTTTCCTTGACTGACAATGCATAGTTGATGGTGCGTGACGCCCAACGAAGCGCCCGGGATACAGAAATTGTTGCCTTGCTCATGAATGCTGCTCTCGAGATGCGCAACTCCTTCCGTGAGATGAAGGAACTTGTGCAAGACACCGGGGATGATGTGATCTTCTCCAATGCGGAAAACACAGAAAAGCTGCAAAAGGCCATCAACGGGCCGAGGCCATATCCGGGGGCAGCCTCCCGCTCCCTGCAAAGCCCGTCGCAAGCTGGCACGTTTGATGAAGCTGCTGTCAAGAAGAAGAATCTCTGGAAGCGGGCTTTGCAAGGCCTTAGTGCCAAGGGCACCAACGACCTAACCCGCATCGAAGATATGCTTATGCAGCTTCTCGGCGAAGTCGATGTACTCAAGACGCAGACAGCACCGGCAGTTTCGACTGGGGGACCAGGGCAATCATATGAAAATTTCCGAGCCGAGGATCAGTTTGAACAAGACAAGGGCTACGAGCCAGAAGGCATTTCGACACCTACGCCTGCCACGCAGTCGCAAGCAGCACCCGCATCACAGCCCCGTGGCCAAGCGGCTGGCGGTGTTGAGCGAAAGTTCTCTGAGCACAGAATCAGTACTGTGCCTGAAAATGACGATGAGTACCAGTACGACCATCCCAGCCCAAGTGCAGAGAGATCTGGCGGTGGGTATCTGCAGACCGCAACTCAAGCAGAACACGTTCAGCGTGGAGGCTCGGTTCCTCTTGATACTCCGCCACGGCTGGCGCCTGCTGCAGATCCTCAACCCCTCAGCGCCGAGAACACACCACGAACCGACAAGGGCAAGAAACACAAGTCCAGCAGCTCTAGCGGGTGGTTGCCAAAGATTTCGCGATGGTCAGGAACGACAGCCTCGAGTGTTGGAAAGGCTCTCCGCGGCAGTGGTTCCTCCAAGAAGGGACCAAAATACGATGATTTCCAACCTCCCTCCAGGTCTGCATCTAGTCTTGCGTCATACGACGATGATCACATGTACAGCCATGACCCATATGGCGAAGACAAACTGCACTCTGGGTTCTCGGATCCAAACCTTCAGGGAATTCGAGGCGAACGCCGCAACTCACAAGGTCCGCCGCCGACTTCATACATGACGCCCGAGGATCCCAAGTACAAGGCACATCGGAACTCGCTGAACTTGCAGCATCCCCAGCCAAGACCTGGTCAAACAGAGAGATTCCGAACTGCTTTGGAGTCTTCAGCGCAGGAGTACAACAACCCCATGACACCAAGATCTACTGAGTGGGCTGGTTCAGCAACCAGCCTTAACCGCTTGCCTCCAAACACCAATAGATACAGCAACAACTCGTCTGTTCCAGGCCCCGAGGCCGACTACTTCTCATCGCCTGGCCAGCAATCCGGACCGCCTCGCCCTCCCAAGGAGCCAATTGAATCTCCTGGCTCACAAACGCCGCCCAAGTCCAGTCGGCTATCCAAGATACAGAAGGAGGGCAGTCCAGCTCCCCAGCAGAGCTCCGAGAGCGGGTACGGTACGATGACGGCGACGTATCTCAGCCACTACTCTGGAAGTAGCCCCAAGTTGGAGAATAGGAATCTGAATGCTGCGCTTGGCGTTCCCAGTCGACGACCTAGCGGGCCACGAGCCATGACACCAAAGAGCCCTGAAGACGAGGCAGCAAGAGAAGAAAGACGACGAAAAAGAGGTACGGCTTGAACAAGGTATTTAATTCACGTGGAAATTATCACTAATGTTTTCTTCTTTTTTCAAGATACATTTGGAACTGTAGCTAGTGAAGATACAGACACCTTCTGAAGTGCACGCTGCGCCAATTAGACGCTCATGTTTTTGCCTATACGCCATGTTGGCATTTCGGTATAGCCAAGTTAGCAAAGCAGAAGTGATTGGGGACGAGTTGGCCATCAGAAATGCAACTGGAATGACGTGGCACAGTCTCTGATGGGGGAGATAGGAAACCAAGGGGGAAAACACAACATGCACAAGCAATAATTACCTCAGGGACCGGCATATATGTGGCCATGGTAGAGGGAGCCTGGGCCAGAGTTCCAGGGGAAAGAGAGGAAGCCCGATCTCCTATTCATCTTTGTTTTTATTATCCGGGAGCGTTGTCTACTCCCTGTGTTTCCATGACGAAATGACGACCAGTTATTTTTTTTTTTTTGGCATTTAGATCTGAGCATCAATGCCGGTCTTTTGGTATTGAGATGCAACTGTATCGACGGTGTTGGTATCGAACCCTAGGTATAGCCTGATTTCGCAGTGGAAAGCGAATGAAGTTGATTTGGTCTGGCATTTGATTTGACCCTCCTGAGTGCAAAACATTGTGATGGTGGGTAGCAAGAAGCCATTTCTGTCTCCGTCGGGCATCTTGTGCTCGTCCTAAATCATGGCGTCTCGCGATCAAGCATGAAGTCAGGAAACGACACTCGGCAATACCCGTGAAAACCAACAAAGACTGGGCTGCCCAGTGATGTCGGAGATGTCTCGTGCTAAAAATAGCACCACGATTCAAGCGATGAGCTGAAGTGACACTTCCGGATTGTAGACTCTAACCTAGGTACAGAGTAAGTTGCCAACCTATCGCAAGTTGAAGCGAGCCATCAAAGCGGTCGCCCTTGTGGCCGTCGTTTTGCTAGCCGAGTGGCAAACACGATCCAAATCCATCGCTAATCATGATCCTGGGGTTCCGGTCTAGGAATGGATGGCGAAGCGATTTTCGTTTCTCAATCTACGGCTCTAAGACGGGGGAACCCGGCGCCGATTCTTCCAGAGCGCTTATTCGCATGGGCCGTCCGCTCCCGTTACATCCAGGCGTCGAGGCTGCCAGGAACACGGTCATCTGAGAGGTCGCTCGGCCATCTGCCGGGCTGGAATCTGGACGGTGGACCTGGACCGCATCTTGGGCTGAAGGGCTGAAGCAGGGATCGTCACGTTGGATTCCCCTCTACGGCAACTAGTTTGGCCAAAAAGATGCCAGGTACGGGGTACGGGGAAAAGATGGGATCTCGATGCATCGCCGAGTGTCACGGTCGGGCCATCGGTATGCTAGGACTTTGATGCCTTGTTCGGGTCAGCTTTGCGCGAAGCATGGGATCAGCTTCGCTGGCTACATCGGGTGCTTCCTGGCCGAATTCAGCTTCTAGCACTTTGAACGCCAGGATCGTGAAGGATGCTGTGCTTACGGGCTTATGAAGCCAGCGTCTGGGTGTATAAGATGTCTGCTTCATCCTACCCAAGCCTGTGTTTTTGGCTTCACTGAACGACACAGAAACACACAGCAGATACAATCAGTAACTTGTCGACACTTTTTACTCATTCTTGTTTTCCAACGGCCTGCAGAATGAAGGTGTCTACTGTTCTCTTGTACATGGCCCTCGGCGCCACGTCTGCCCGCGCCCTGCCCACCGAGGCCGTCGACGTCCAAGGCGGACTGGAAGCCCGCGGCAACCTGCCCGACCTCAACGCCCTCCAGTCCAAGTATGCGCGTGGCATCATCGCCCAGGCCAAGAAGGACGGGGTTGGCGCCCACGGATGCCAGGCTGGCATCGCCACCGCTCTCACCGAGGTACGCCCTTGCCGTGCCAACCAGGGCCCCGAATACGTTGGTTGAGACGGGTTCTCTTGCTGATTGCTCTTTGTGGAATATAGTCCAGCCTCGTCATGTACGCCAACAGTGGTGTTCCAGCTTCCTTGAAACTGCCGCACGACCGCGTCGGCTCTGACCACGACAGCGTCGGCCTCTTCCAGCAGCGCGCCTCTATTTATAAGAATGTCCAGTGTGACATGGACGCGGCTTGCTCGGCGGGCCAGTTCTTCACCGAGATGAAGCGCTTCAAGGGCTGGCAGACCATGGCTGTTGGTACGCTTTGCCAGCGTGTCCAGCGGTCTGCTTACCCTGATCGTTATAATAAGTTTGTGCCTACTGCCACCAAGGTTTGCAAGGCTGGCGGTTTGTAGGGGAGTCGAGGCTTGGGATGCGTGCGGATGTGTAGATAAAAACAAAGAAGCAGCAGTATAGGAAAGGGCAGAGGATAAGCGAGCCCCCTTTTGTTTACACAGACTAGACTGATCCTGCCATTTTCTTTCATGACTCTGCATCCTACTTGGTAGCATACCGATGACCCGACCGTTGAATGTACATCTACGTCTGGCTGTTGGGCGCAGAATGTTGGAAATTTACTACAGTGGAAACCAAATATATCTGCTATTTGACGACACTATTCATTTCGAGATGCAGATTTGCCTGAAACTCACGAAAGAGACTGCCTCTCTTCAGCTGGAGTACGTTGAGAGACGAGTAGTTTTGCTGGGTCGAAACACGGCCCCAATAGAAAGGGCGACATGTGCTGACACTCATCGTGATGGATTCGTAGGAACGAAAAGAGTGGTACGTAATGAATTCCAAGTAGGATATAGGTCACTAAGCTTAATATTTTCTCGCAATCATAGTGATGGTGATTAGAGACGGTGAATCCAGTGGTGCCCTTTATTCAACATGTCAACAACAGCTACAGACAGGCGTTTATCAAGATGTACGGCGCAGTTATTTTATTCAGGAACTAGTTGATACGAGATGAGGAATACAGGATCCAAAGCAGTCATGGAACACCAGTGCGAAGCATCACGATCCATGAACAAGGCCATCTCGAGCCGACGAAACAGGGCCCTAATCAACAATGGTGCTAGAGCCACGAGAAGTAATAGACTCATAGTCACCCACCGACCTCCTCCAAAAGCACAGTCTCGCCAGCCACCCTCGCCGCTTCCTCGGCACCTCCCTCTCCGAAACAGACGACGCCTCCGAGCGGCCCCTGGTCCTGGCCCAGCGCCGCCCCGGCGGCGGCGGCATGGGCACCACCTTATTACTGTGACAGTAGCACCCGCAGCAGTCACAGCAAGGCTTCGCCGGGCGCGCAGGCACCGTCGCAGCAGGCCGCGGCCACAATGGCGGCCGCGTCGTCTTCCTGGCGCCGCCGGCCTCTACGTACAGCGACAACCGGACGGCGAGGACATAGACGTCGACGAGGCCGACGGGCACGGCGTCAAGGTACAAGTTCTTCCTGCCGGCCATGTGGCACAGCCGCTGCAGCATGTAGCTCAGCGACAGGTCGGCGTCGTCAAGCTCGGGGGCGAACGGAATACGCCCCCCGGGCATCTTGATGCTGGCGAGGGCGTTTCCGACATCCTGGAGCGAAATCTCGGCGGCGTCGGGCATCATGGACCGGAAGTCCGCCCCTGCAACGTGGGATTCCGCGTCAAACTCCCTGATGGCCTCCTTGGGCATCCTGTTTCGAAGGCGCCATATGCGCCAGACCAGCCCGTTCCACGAGGGCTCCGTGACGGGCGGCGGCGGCGTGATGCCCACGGCGGCCTCGAGGCGTCCGACGCGCCTGTCTAGGCTGGGCAGGCTTACGGGCTTTGCGACATCGTCTATCCAGAAGGGGACGTCTTTGATGCCTTCGAGGTTGGAAATGACGGCCGCACAGCGAAGCTCTTCCATTGTGAAGAGATGGGAAGCTACTTTTTTTGTTTTGGGCTCAGTGGTTCCAAGTTGAGGATAAGGAGGGAGAGAAGGATCTTTTGTGATCTTGAGGACCACGAGTGTGTGGGAAAAAGAAAAAAAAGAAAAGTGAGGCGGTCTGTTGGTCCTTCACCAGCTTTCATACCCTCGAGCTTGGCCTTTTTCTTGTCTACCCCGCTTGCCCTGTCTGCCTAAATGCATGCGGCGCACCAACATGCATCGCGGTGAGAGCCAATAGCTGCGATATCAGACAGTCTCGACCCAATCTTGTACACGAGGTCAAGTGGCCTCAGGCAAGTTGAGTTGTCCCTTGTCTCGATTTGGGTAGCAACCAAGGGGACCCCGCAAAGTTCACCGGTGAAGTTGCGGTCATGTCGGTCGGGCAGGGCGAACGGCAGCTAGTCGGGCTCTGGTATGGGGAAACGAGACATGCATGTTTCCTTGAATGAACCAAGATGGGTTTCTCCTGATGGGTTGTGCGTAGTGGCGACAAGGTTTGGACAGAGCCGATGGAATTGCCAGATCCGTCATGTACTGGCCGGATATGCGGGTCTGCGGACCCGGAGGCCGTGTGGGTCTCGGCATCATCTGCGCCGGCCACCAACTGCGGAGGGAGGGCAGGGACAGTACGCTGAAGCATCTTGCCGCTGTGAGACGGAAAATAGATCCAGGGGCATTCACATGAGCTATGGAGTGTCTGGCGAATTCAACTTTGCCTGGAGTTTATCAGCCTGGCATGAACGATATTTTTGCGAAACAGCCAACTTCAAACTATAAATCGAGAGGCCTCGCCCATCGGATAAAACTATTTCCAAAACCCTACATTTGCATGTATACTTTTGTCCACCACTGCACATTATACAAGGCATCTACATCTCAGATACGCAAAATCGTTGCAAAATCAAACAGTCACGAAAAAGCCAACATCAAGGCCCAGACGCCTCGTAGCTCATCCACCCAAACATGCCGCACGCTCCCCCCAGCAATAAAATCGTAATAATGCTCGCACCAGCCCTATCACCCGCCGTAACAGTCTTCTGATTCGGCATCACCGATCCGTCGCCCTGACCACCATCCGGGTTACCCGCACTGGTACCGCCCGAATCATGGGTCACAGGCGGCCTCGCCTTGCCAATCAGCAAACTCTGCACGGCTGCCAGCACACTCATCTCTTGCCCGACCCCCGTCCTGCCGTCATACTTGCCGTCTGCCCATTTCAGACCGCACTGCCGGCCGTTGGCGCCGCCTGTGCACTGTGCGACCGCAGCTTGTGCCGACTTCTGGAGCACGGGGAGGATGCGCTCTGCTGTAAAAGGCGCAATCTGCGTGATTATTGCATACCAGCGGTGCACAAAGCCCTTGTACGTAAACATGTCTGTTTTACAGCCGTCGTTGAGCTCACATGAGATTTCGACAGCAACGTCATGGGGGAAAAAGGTCTTGAGGCCGTAGTTGATGAGCTTGTCGAGTCTGTCTCCCCACATTGGGTCGCCGTTTGTCTGAGCCGTGGGAAAGCAAGGTGTTAGCCGTCGTTTTGCACAATGAAGAGACACAGGGAAATCCATTCAATAAAGGGAGAGACTTGCGATATTGTACATAAACGCCGCGCCCTCGGCGAAAATGGCGTTGTTGTACGAGTACTGGACTTTGTTGATGTCCTTGCACTGATGGGCAACGTTGGCCCCGTCATAGATGGCATAGTTTTTAGGATCGATGAAGCCGGTTTTCTCAACCCAGTCCCACGTCTTTTCTGCCCAGTCGGAGTATTTGGTGTCTCCTGTGTAGCGGGCAAGCCTGGCCGCCATGTTGAAGAAGCAGCCGTTGGCGATGCCTGAGACAAGAGTTAGCTATGCAAGAATCATCAGTTCCAAAGAAAACTCACTATTTTTATAGCCATAACCATTATTAGTAAAGGGAATCTGCCATCGAAGTCCTCCGCCACATGTGCTGTCGTGTCGCTGAGGACTCGCCTGCGTGTTAAAGACGGCCTGCGCAAGGCCAAGCCATCCAGGGCGGTTGGCTGGGGGGTCGGGAAACTTATTCTCTGCGGCCAGCATGGCAGCCATGCCCCAGAAGGCCTGGTCATCGTTCCCCAGAGAGGCCGTCACATTACGCGGCATGTAGTCCTGGCCCTCTCCGACCTGGAACTGCATGGCCTGCATGATGATGTTGTTGTAAGTCGAGTCGCCAGTCAAGGCCCAATACTGGATGAGGGTGCCCCACATGGCTCCGCCTTCCCACCAATAATAGTCGCCGGCCGGCGGCGGTCCGGGAAGGATTCCGGGCGTGCCTCCGGATTCGTTGCCGTGATAATATTGAAGCATGTCCCAGGCCAGTATGCTGGCTGACTTTTTAATTTCGTCTGAAAGTATCGTCAGTCGGTTTATTCTTTATTTGTTTGGGGTGCCTTGTTGGCGTTGTTTGTACAACGACGCACCATCAGAGTCGAGCGAAAAGACAGACGCTGCAACACTCAGGCGACCAGCGGCCAGCAGCATTAAAGGAGACGATGGCAACTTCATGGTGGCAATAACCAATTTGGAATAATGCTTTCATTGAAAAGAGAAAGAGAGAGAGAAAGAGGAAGAGACGCCACGACCAAACGAGTGACAAAAAGTCGTTTACCGCGCAATTACAACAGACCTGCGCGCCGTATCTTCATTCAAGCAAACGGTCGCAGCATCGATGAGGTTGTCAAGTCCAAAATGCCAAGAGATTTCCAAGACGGATACCAAGTTGCAAAACAAGGCGTGAAAGGAGACCCGACCCATTTCTTATGACGCATGTCCAGGGCGGGCGAGAATGGCCTCCATGCTGGCTGTGGCAGATGGAAGAGCGTGCAGTCCGAAAGCAGCCTCAAAAGCGCGCCCCCTGACAACTCGTGCAAACAACACCTTGTTTATCCTTCTCCAGTCTTTCAGAGCCTGTTTGCCAGTTGGAGGTGGAGGTGAAGATGGTGGTGGAGAAAGTGTGGCAGCCATGGCTGTTTGGAACTGCAACTAGTAGTTGTTGATGTGGCAGAACACGAGCGATGATCACTGATTCACTTGGATCCCTTGCAGCCGTTGCTTGCGTCACTGAGGAGCTGCTGTCCTCGGGAACGGATAGATGCACCACAAATTCTTCGTAATACTAGGCCAATGGATTATTCCGTAAAAATCTCGCAGACGTTTGCTTCGCTGAGAATTTGCTTACTAATGTCAGTAATTGAGCTTGCTCATCGCTGAAGTGCAAAATACCCGGTCGCTTGATGTCCGATTTGTTAAGCAGAGGTTCTGAAGTTCGCGAATCGAAATGTGGCCCCGACTCTCTCATGTACGGGCAGAAAATTGATATCGATTGAAGTCGCAGCAGGCTGTCGACTGTTCATTTGAAGGCAAACGTAATGAGCCGATCAATCCTGATGCTTGATTGAGGTGGCCAAAGACATAGCCGCCGCTCGCTTCAACAAATACCCTCAACTGTTCCCAGATCTCCATGATCTCTTCTCACCATAAACAAATTGCGCGTTATTGAACCCCCAAGAAGATTTGGATGAATTGAAATGTTGCATTTTACCAATCGTGAAATAAAATCGTGATGCGCGATCCCCAACGAAGCATTTCCACAAGCTGCTCAGAACATAAACCAGCCACAAGCCAGATCCCGGGACGAATGGGTGCCCAAAGCGATACCCAAATCAGGTAATTCGAGAGTACATAGTCAGGACGAGGGCCACAGAGACGGTGGAATTCGCTCGCATAGGCATCCAGATTCAGATGGTACATCGCCGGGAATGATGGTTGTGTGAGACCTAATGCGGGACATGATGGCCTCAAGCCGGAAACGATGTTTCAATTTTACCGCCAACTTGATGCAGCAGAAGGCGTTTCGTGGCCTTGTGTTGGTGACTCAGAGAAATATTGCCGTCGTGCTCATTATATCTGCGTCTCTTGAATGTACCCGGGTAGACAGAACTGTAGTGCTACATGCTGCCCATTTCTGCTTTGTTAGGATCGCACATGTCGGTGACAAGATCAATCTAGTCGCATCTTTTTGCCAAACTCACCGCCATCGGGATCCTGGAATCCCAGGGATTAGACGTCAACTGCATTGGTGAAGCCATCCTGGAGTGCCAGGCCTCTACAGTCGCAAGAAAACAGAGCCTGCAAAGAACTGCGGATGGCCGTGGGCGCTGTATTTGAAGAATGAAACATGTTGCATAGCGAGTGCCATTGTCATTCTACTGAGCATGATGGACGACTGAGAAGAAAGATTCTCTGAATCCATTGCTGATGCCCATCTTGCAAAGTTGAACATGTAGCAACGTGCAAGCCAGGTAGACGGGGAAGCCGAGCCCGAATCTTTTTGTACGGAAACATTGCGGCATCTCCAAGGCTATTCGGGCCGTGATGCATCCAGTCGTGACCGTTTCGAGTTGTGTGATGTGTGATGTGTGGTGAGTCTGGACCTCTGCTGTGTCAAGCAGGAGTCGAGAGTCGATCCGCTGGCCGAAGGCTCCGATTCCGCAGGCACTGTCTTGAGTCTCCACCAAAAACTTCCCCGAGGTCCTAGAATCGCAGTCGCTTGCTCCTCATGCTGGACTTTGTTCTATACCTTTCTTCCATTAATTCAACCCAACGATCGGCAATTGTTTTTCCCCAGACTCTCAAATTATAGGCTTGTCGGCACCTCACCTCGATGGCTTTTTGAGCTGGCCACCAACCCTCACCTCTGACATTGTGGACAAAATACCCCGCCATCGCCTCTGTGCCCGAGTCACAAACACTTGACAGGCCAGGGCCAGCTACCTTCCGAGGTCGTCACCATGGCCTCGACGGCTCTAGATGCGCAGATGAAGGCGGAAGGCGTGCCTCCTACAGCTGTGAAACCATCGTCGCGACGGGACTACAAGGGCTTTGTGGCGGGCGTGTTTAGCGGCATCGCAAAACTGACGGGTGAGAAGCCAACGCCCCCTATCCATTGATTCCATCTCACTGCAGTCGTCGATTAAATCAACGCTCTACCGGGCCATGCAATGGAGAATGCAAACTGACCTGAATACCAGTCGGCCACCCCTTTGACACCATCAAAGTCCGCCTGCAAACAACCAACAAGGGCCGGTTCAGCGGTCCCCTGCAATGCGTCACGCAAACCGTCAAAAATGAAGGCATTCGCGGCCTTTACAAGGGCGCAACGCCGCCCCTCGTCGGCTGGATGTTCATGGACTCCATCATGCTCGGCTCCCTAACCGTCTACCGCCGCCTAATAGCTGAGAATCTCTTCCACGCATCATCATGGACACCCGGCGCCGGAGACGGCGCTGGCCTCGGATTCACCGCCCTCCTTGACGCGCTCAAATCCTCTCCGACCTCATCACCACCATCAGCGTTATCACCGACGTACCTCCCGCCGCTGGGCCACGGCATTGCAGGCATCCTCGCCGGCACGACCGTGAGCTTCATCGCCGCACCAGTCGAACACGTCAAGGCCCGTCTGCAGATTCAATATGCCGCCAACAAGTCGGAGCGCATGTACTCTGGCCCCATCGATTGCCTGCGCAAGATTTACACCCACCACGGCGTGCGCGGCGTCTACCACGGATTGTGCGCCACCATTATTTTTCGGAGCATGTTCTTCTGCTGGTGGGGCAGCTACGATATGATTTCGAGATGGATGAGGCAGAGGACCAACATGAGCGCCCCGGCCATCAACTTCTGGGCGGGCGGTCTGAGCGCGCAGATTTTCTGGCTGACCAGCTATCCGAGTGATTTGGTCAAGCAGAGGATCATGACGGATCCGCTGGGGGGAGGCTTGGGAGACGGGGAGAGGAGGTTCCCCAGATGGAAGAATGCCGCGGTGGCTGTGTACAATGAGAGTGGGTGGAGGGGATACTGGAGAGGGTTTTTGCCGTGCTTCTTGAGGGCGTTTCCGGCGAATGCCATGGCGCTGGTGGCATTTGAGGGCGTCATGAGGTCGCTGCCTTGAAGGCTGGAAAAATGTGTTTCAGGCGGTGCCGTGGACGTGGATTAGATTGGCATAGGGGGAAGTTGGATGAGTGTTGCATATACCCGGCGATATGGCATAAACTAATGATACTACTGCATGGCAATACATAGACTACTTGCAAGGATACATCATATTCACACAGTTTTTTATTTGGGAAATCAAAACGGTAGCCTCACTCAAAATGGCTGGTTATATTGGAGGTATCTTGTATTGTGAAACAATCCTTGAAGCATCATCTCAGACCCATATCCACATTCCCCAATCATCACCGAAAAATCCATTTCTCGTTGCTGGCAAGACTTGTCAAGTAATCGTTAGAGACGCAGCGAAGCGGACCTAATTTACTCGTCGTCCTCGTCAGCCTCGTCGTTGACAACGTTGAAGAACTTGAGCTCGTAAACACCACGGGAGGTGGAGACGACACGGAGCCAGTCACGGAGCTGCTGCTTCTTGAGGAACTTCTTGGTCCTGTAAAAATTATCAGTTAGCACGTCCGTCCCACAAGATACACCTGCCTCCGCGGCTCATTTGCAACACCAGCACATACAGGTACTTGAGGTAGCGACCAGACAGCTCATTGTGGGCAATGATCTCGATCTTGCCCTCGCCCTGCTGCTGAACAATGACGTTGTCGCCCAGGTTGTTGGTGCGGCCCTCGACCTTGATGGTATCCTGGAGGAACTTCTCAAAGGCGGAGACGTCGAAGATCTTGTCGTTGGCCGGCTGCTGAGCGTTGATGATGAACTGCCACGCCTCCGTCAGCACGCGAACCTCGCCGCACAGAGTCGCAACGTCCCGAGGACGATGAAAAACTTACCTTCTTGGTCTGCTTCTGGGCCTTGCCCGACTTCTTCTATCAAGACAATGACAACTTAGCCTACTGCACATTTCACGGCGCAAGATACTTCAAAGCCGCCCGAAGCTCAATGGATCCTGTCTATGCCCATCACTACCCCGGCCCATCAAGTTACAGCCTCGACAGCATTTTCATACAATCGAGGGCGTTGACTGGGCGCGAGCAACGACGGAAACGAGAGATTCATCGGCCAATGGGTGGTGTTGCGCCAAACAGCAAAGCGGTTTGTAATGTACATACTGTCTGAGGAGCCATTTTTAAAGGTATTGAGTGAGTTTTTGTCGGGAAGAACGCAAAGAGGTCGAATCCTGCGCCTTTGTAAATGTGCGTGGTGTGGTTGAATGGAGGAGAGGAAAAAAGACGGACAGCCCACTCTGCTAAGATGCCTCCCAATTGGTGCTGCAACAGCCTGAAAATTTGGTGCGAGTGACAAAATGGCACGAAATTAGGGCTCCGCTGTGCGAAATTGTGGAGCATTGCGTCGATAAGAGTTATCGCATCGCAGCTTAACTTCTTGCCCGCAGTGCTCACGTGACTAGCTTGCCGAATGTTCGTAGGGGGTCTCAGTGGTCTTGGCAGGTAAACGTCGACGTGACAAAAAGGGCAATTGGTATGTTCAGCAAGTTAGCCAATGCTACATAAAACTGAGAACCCAAGGGATGCAGATGCTGTTGACAAAACACAAACGTCATGGACATATGTCGGCAGCAGCGCGGTTTCTGAATTTGGGATCCAACTGGCCTGTTTCATACCATGGTCTCTCCTCTCCGAAATCAAATCACTTCTTAGGTAGCAACACTTCGGGAACACACATCAATTTCATTGCCATCATATTCCAAACATTAAGCACATAACCCAAAAGTCGACAATAACTCAATCTCGCAAAACTCGTGGGTCATTGACTCGTACACATCATACATCGTGATTGTCCACAAAGTAAAACACATCATCCAAATATCCTCTTTAGCACGCCTTTGAACCCAGTAGGCTTCTTCTCTTCTTCCTTCTTACTACGCTCAGACTTCCTAGCCCGTCTGGCGTTATCTTCGGAAGTTGTAACACTGCCCTTCGATGAAGAACCTCGAGGAACGTCAGCCGACTCTCGCGTCTTCGTAGTCTTGGGGCGAGATTGATCGGTTGAGAGGCGTCCGAAACCGTATTTGGATCGCGTCGTGTTGGATCTCTTGGGTGCCTCTGTTGCCCTAGGAGCTTCAACCTCGATTTCAACTTCAACCGTGGTCTCCCCTGCGATCGTGGGGGGCAAACCGCTGCCTACTATTCCTTCACTATTCTTAATCTCAAAAAACCGCTTGTCAGAAGGCTGGATAAGTGGCTCCCTTTCGACAGGAGCAGAAGCAGAAGGAATACGGTCAGACTTGTGCTGGCTAGAGTGGCTATGCCGGCGCGAGGAGCGATGGCTTCGTTCCGCAGGGTGGTCCACGTCTCTGCTGCCCTTGCGATCTCTATGCGTGGAACGTTCCGAGCGCTCAGAAGGTTCCGATCGTTCACGACGTTCAGAGTCTTGATCGCCAAGGTGGCGCTCCGCTCTGCGTCGTTCGTGCTCGGCTTTTTCTTCTGGTGTTCGTCGTTTGCCAGAACTTCCAGAGCTTTCTCCAGAGACACCGCTGTCTCGTCGCCTAGGAGTTCTGGGCGGCGTCTTTGAGGCGTCTTCTCCTGTACTATCAGCACGATGTCGGCGACTGTGTGGGCCATGCGAGCCATGTGACGACTGTCGTCTGCTCTCGCGATGCTCCTCGTCGCCACGACTACGGCTAGATCGGCTAGACTGGTGAGAAGACTGTCTACGGCGGCGAGTCCTCTCCCTTTCCCTTTCGCCACTTGACGCTCGAGGGTCTCTTGAAGTTTCGTCTGCAGATAAGTCAGTATCAAGCTGGTGCGAGTCCTCCTCAACAATTTCCCGTGAAACAACGGAGGGAAATTCCCCTTCATGGTCTTGGAAGGTATCACCAGCCTTAGGGCTAGCGGGAGGGCTCAAAGCTTCAGCAGTGGCATAAATGACAACTGCAGCCGCAACTGTATCCTCGACGTTCCGGACCGCCAGCTTCTGCTTGCGCTTCAAAGACTTGTTTCGTTGTTGATCAACCATTGCCATGTCAGGGACCACCACAGCAGGTGTGGGAGCTCTTAAATCAACATCACTTGCACGTATTGTGAGGCCAGAACTTTGCGTCGGTTCAACTTCCAGCTCTGCGGCTGCTGGGGCTAAAGTCTCACATGCAGCAGTTGACTTTCCTTGAGCCTCGGTCAAATCTCCGCACTTCTCTGTTTCAGATGCTTTTGCAGAGACTAGAGACTTGTCGTGCTCGGCGGTGAAGCCTACAACATCTGTTGACTTGGAATCGTGGAGTTGTCCAACTGCAGCGACTGTCACCGCGCCTGTAAGTGCCGCTACACCAGCAGCGGCCAAAGCAATGCCAGCAATCTGGCTGCCGGGTTCCTCAGTCGAGCTGTCGGTTGAAACGATCTTCCCGTGAGATGACACCTCGCGCTCTCCAGTTGGGGTTGCAGTGGGAAGCGCAATGTCTTCAGCTGGGGCTTCGAGTGCGACCTCCTGGGAAAGCCAGCTCTCCGGAGCTTCGGTAGGTGGAAATGCAGCATCTGCATTGGGAGCCGTCTCGGTTCCTTCAGAAGCATCGACAAACTCTTCGTCGTCATCAGCAGCAGCAACAGATATTCCATGCTCAACATCAGTTGCGCGTTCTCGCTGTAGGGCAGCAACACTTTGCTCAGCCGCGATTTCGACAAAGTCGTCCTTTTGTTCAGCTTCGTCAGCCGTCTCAGCAGCCCCGTCAGAAGCCAAGCTTGTTTCGATTTGAGGATCAACGATTAAAGCTTCAGTAGCAATGACTTCTTTAATAGCTGGCGCTTCAGCAACTGGCTGGGCAGAAAGCTGGGCACAAAAAACTTGTGCTGGCACTCCCTGTGGATTGGTCTCCTCGATTGCCTTTGGTAGTGACTCTGGTCGGATATCATCAGGACAAGGGGCCTCTTGAGAATCAGCAGCAGTTGCTTCCTGACTCGACGTCATCTCAATGGGAGCCTCCGCAACTGCCACGGCCACTGGTCCTTGATCTGCAGCTGTTTGTGCTAGGTCTTTCTGCTCAATATCCTCCATTGGCAAGGCACGAGCCTCTAGCTCAATCTGCGGGAGATCGAAAGCATCGGGAACTGCTTGGTAATAGGTAGCCATTTCAGATGCCATCTCACTCCTGGATTGCTCATTTGAAGCTTGCACGGTCAGGTCGATATCTTGTGTCTCTGCTGGTTTTGTTTCTGGCATCGGTTGAGACTCGGTAACATTGACAGGGGCGATGGCTTCATCCGTGATGAGGGTTTCTGCCGCAAGTACTGCTGCCAACTGTTCTGCTGAACGATCAAGCATCTGGTCCTTTGCCTCAGTTTCTTCACCCTCAGCAACTGGACCAACTGAGGATTCGGCGGGCGTATCAGAAGCAAGTGCTTTGTTCTCAACGACAGTCTCTACAGCAAGGTCGGGAAGCGACTCGGCTAGAGCATCCTCCTCTTGCATCTCGGCTTCCATTTGTCTAGTTGGTTCAGAATCATTTGGAATCTCCTGCGACACGACAACCGTTGCATTATCTTCAGAATCTGGGGCGGAATGCTCTTGGACCTCGTGTTCTGCAACAATTTCCTCGGCAGGTTTGGACTTTGAGTCATCGGTGGCCTCAACAAGTGCCCAAGATTCTGACAATGGCTGCTCTTGGCTCAGTACAACACCATCGTCTTCGAGGGGTTTCTCGGAATCAGTTGCTTCGGGCCCTGCAGAATCGGTATTCAGAACTTCACCGCTGTTGTCAATCAAGACAGAACTACCATCCTCGGACTCTGCTTTGGTCTCTCCTTCGGCGGCCAGCTCTTGATACTGGTCAAGGTGCTCGGACTCTTGAGAAGCTTCCACGTGAGGACCATTGCCTCCAACAGCTTGGTCCTCAACTGCGTATATCGTTGATTTATCTGAAACCAGTCGAGATTCATCATCTGTTGCAAATAAAGCAGCCTGATTAGCTGCTTGGACAGGTGAGGAATTATCGAGCTCCTTGCTGACTTCCTCTAGCATAATTGGCTCGGCCTCAATCGTGGCCGCCGCAGTTGAAACTTGTGACACGATGGGCTCTTCAGCAACTCCAGCGACAGAATCTATTTCAGCCTTTGTAGTGAAAAAGGGCTCTGCCTCGACCACAGAAGGCTCCTCGGCTGTATGCGTCAACATATCAGGAACCTTGGCTATGACATCTGCATCTGGGATCGAGACGATACCGGATTCCAGCGCCGACTGAGCCAAGCCTGTTACCGAATCATCTACATCAACAGACTCGTTGACAGGTGCCGTGTTCTTAGTGGCGTTGACCAACTTGGTTTCTTCATTGTCGAGGGGATTTGACTCTTCCACCAGGTTCTCCCTTGGCTCGTCCGAGATGTTAAGCCCTTCTGTACCTGGAGATGACTCTTGAGCTCCCGTAGTCAAGACAGGCTCAGTAGACTTCAGCTCTGTTGGTTCTGTTGCATTATCCACAGTGACGGCTTGAATAACAGTGGACGTTAATTCCTGGTCTGAAGCCATCTCAGATACTTCGGCGGCTGCCACGTGGAGCCTATCAGCATCGACATTAATTGCAGCGCTGTCCACGGCTGTATTGTCAGGCTTCTCCATTGGCTCCAAAGTAGATTCTTCTGTGCGTAGACCTTCCCCGGAAGCCTCAGAACGAATTGGCTCTTCAATGACTGCAGGAGTTGTAGGGCCAACAGCTCTGGTCGAAACCGACTCTTCAGCGCCTGACGCACTGTGTTCTTCAGAGCCCAGAATGACGGTAGCAACAGCGTCAGTAGCCGTGGTATCAGGTTTCTCTGTAGACTCTAAAATGGGCTCTCCGGCGTGTGGAAGTTCCTCCTCCGTAGAGGCAGCCGCTGAAGCAGATTCTCGGACAGCTTCAGGGACGACTTCTTTACTGACTTGGACCGAAACGGACACTTCAGCTGTAGTGTCATCTACGACGATTGGTGCCGCATCGGCAGTATCTAACGCCTCGGTTGCAACCGATTCCGGTTCGTCTGCAGCCTTTGGTGCTACCAATTCATTCGGATCGTCCAAGATTGGCTCTTGTGTGACCGAAGAACTTAAACCTTCACTAGATACAGCCAGAACAGGCTCAAGGATAGCACTATCGGTAGCAACAGTCTCCTTTTCGTTTTGGAGGTGCAAGTCTTTCTTGGTGTCATCCAACGCAACAAAGTCTTCCGCAATGGTGGGTGTTTCTCCTTTGGTTATGACCAACGCGGACTCCTCGTTGACTGGCACTTCCGGCTCTTCCATTGCAGCAATAGTAGCAGGCTCTGCTGAGGCATCTTCGACAACAGGCTTAGTTGCTGTTTGTTCAGCTAACTGTTCCTTCAAATCATCCAGCACAGTGGACGCTGCGACCTGGTCAGATTCTTCCCCATGAGCCGGAGCCAAAGCAAGATCATCACTCTTTGTCAGACCCTGCTCCTCGGTCGTAGGCTTTGATCCTCCAGCAGAAACGGCTTCTGGCGCTTCAGTATCTGGCAGCTGAGTTTTCTCAGATGCATGTTCCAAAACAGGATCCTCTTCGGCAGCAGGTGCTGATTCCTCGGTTTCCACCTCGTCAAGCGTCCCTGTGGTTGGCAGACTTGACTTCCCTGCCAAGGCATCTTCAACAGACTCAAGAACAACGGTTGCGGCCTCCTCCTCAGTCGAGACTATAGCGACTGTTTCTTTCAGTTGTTGTTCCAAAACTTCAGACTTTACTTCAGTAGCCTCGTCCAAAACCTGCTCTGTAGCAGGCCGCAACTCCTTTACCTCCTCTTTCTCTGGGAGCGCAAAAACGTCATTGCCATCCCTTTCTCCAGCTTCCTCCAAATTGGTATATCCAACAGCATCCGAAAAATCACTAGGGGTATCATGAAAAGAATACAATTCCTCACCTTTCTTCGATTTGGGCGTCAACTTTCCATCTCTTGGAATCGGCCCAACAGTGTCCTTACTCTCTTCTTCCTCGGGTGTCTTTGGCGCCTTTGGTTTATCTTTTGGCAGTTCGGTGGCGACAAGAGCAGCTCCGCCGGCAGCAGCAGCAATGCCAGCGATAATGGCCGCGGCAGCGGCTTTAGAATGGTCTTGTTCCATCTCTTCTACTAGAGGTTCTGCTTTGGGCTCTTCGGCAGGCTCTGGCTCTGGTTCAACCTCCTCGGCAACCGGAGCCTCGGGCTCCTCCTTGGGCTCTATGACCTCGGGAGCTGGCGCAGGTGCTTCCGCCTCAGCAACTTCGGCCGCCGGCACAATCTCAGGTTCCTGAGGTTCTGCAACTTCAGCGACGAGTTCCTCTGCCTTGGCTTCCTCCTCTGCAGCCGCAACCGATTCAGGGGGTGGGGCTTCAGCGGTCCCAGCAGTCTCAGCGGCGCCGTCTGCTGCCTTGATATCTTCAGAAACAGTTGGTTGCTCGGTTTCTTCTCCTGGCTCTGCCGCCGGCTCCGATTCATCCTTTGAACCAATCTGAGCCCTGGTCTCGTCAGCATCTGGAGCCTCTTCTGTCTCTGCATGGTCAGCAGTAACAGTCTCAGATTCCTTAGCAGCCTCAGGTTCAGCAGTAGTCTCTTGCACTATTTCAATAGGTGGCTCAGCACCACCAGATTCGTCACCTGTTGTCTCTGGCTCAACCGGTTGTGCAGCAGCAATATCGGCTACGTCTTGGGAGTCTGCTTCAGGCTCTCCTTTCGCTTCATCTTCGATAGGTTCAGCTGATGCTTCGGGAACTGGCTCCTCTTGAGCCTCAGACTCGACTGGCTCTACAGTCTCTGCGGCAGGATCGGAGGGCTCGACTTGTACATCTTGAGTGGCAGCAGTTGACTCTGCGGTATCAGCGGCGCTCTCAGGAGCAGCCTTGTCTTGCACGGCGTCTTCAGCAGCTTCGACTGTCGCAGCTTCCTTTTCTTGTTCAGCTGCTACGTCAGGCTGGTCAGCTAGTTTCGCCTCCTCGGTCGCAGGCACATCATCCGTCGTCTGTTCAACGGTTTCTTTGTCAGCAGAAACGTCTTCTTTCGGTGCCTCTGCTTCTGCACCCGATACATCTGCTGGAGCCTCAGCTTCTTCCGTCGAATGTGGTGCATCAAAATCGGGATCAGGTTTAACTTCTGATGTAGTGTCATCAACAGCAGGTTCCTGTACAACCTCTTTGGCCTCATCCGATACGACAGGAGCCAGAGGTTCAGAAGCGCTGTTATCAACAAGATCAGCTGGCGCTGTAACAGTTTTCTCAGCTTCTACTTCAGGCTCATTGGCCTCCTTCATGGTATCTGCATCAGCATTGTCCTCATCAGTGGTTATAGCGGGAGGCTCGGTGTCAGCAACCGCTTCCTTGTCATCGGTTGCTGGCTCCATCGCGGTAGTTTCTGGAGTGGCTTCGGGTTCCTTTGTTGAGTCTTCGCCTTCAGCTGCCTGCTCCGCCTGCTCCTGTACTGCAACAGCAGCTGCACCATCTGTCCCTTCAGGTTCAGCTGCAGTTGCTTCTTCAGCTGGGCCTTCGGCTTCTGTCTCTGCGGCATCGGGAGACTGAACAGCAGGCTCAGTAACAGGGGCGACTTCGCCTTCATCCGTGGGTTCGATCTTGTCATCAACCGGAGTCGTCTCTTCGGTATCCGCAGGCTGTTCAGTAAGAGCCTCAGGCTGTTCGGCAGCTGGCTCATCGTTGACATCCTTGGCTTCAGCGGCTGGGTCAGAGGACTCTTCAACCTCTGTTTCGGCTGCCGCTTCTTTCGTCTCCGTAGTCTCGGCAGCTGGAGCTGGGGCGTCGGAAACTCCCTCGCCGTCTTTAGTTACTTCTGATTCTTCTGGCTTAGGCTTGTCCTCGGCTCCATCGACTATTCCTGTGGCACCTGTTTCTTCAATTTGGGCTTCGGGTTCTTCGGTAGGTGATGCTACCAACTCATCGTTGGGAACTTCAGACTGCGATTCTGAAATTTGATTCTCGGTGGCAGGTGTATCTTCTACGGCAGTTTCGGCAGGCCCTTCGATGGCAGCAGATTCTTCATCCAGTTTGGTATCAGCCTTGTCCGCGTTTGAGTCTTCTGTTTGTTCGCCTTGCTTCGTTTCAGACTCGGGAGGTGAGGCCGCAGATCCATCGGCATCTTGAGTAACAGGTTCCGTAACTACATCAACTGGCTCTTCGGCATTCTCAGGAACAAGCGCAGGCTCTTTGGCCGCTTCTGTCTCACTAGTAGAAGGTTCGGCGGTGGCATCAGCAGGTGAAGTTTCAGCTTCGGTGCTTGCAACTTGATCTTCAGCTGCCACTTCAGTCGTAGCAGTCATCTCCGTCTCCACGGCCTTCGGTTCCTCTACAGGGGCTTCAGCGGTTCCTGCTTCAGCCGAGGGAGCATCTTTATCCTTCACCTCTGTATCGTCAGGCTTCGACATTGGAGATTCCGTTGGTTCCTTTTCAGCAGCTTCAGACTCGTTAGGTTCGGCAGTGGCGCCCTCATCGGGTTTTGACTCATCAGGAGTAGGCTGTTCCTGTGATGCCTCCTCAGCCTTTTGTTCATTTGTTTTAGCTTTATCATCGTTCACTGGGTCTGCTGCTGACTCAACTACGGATTGCGCGGTGGTGGCAGTCGTATCTTCTTCCCCTTTTACCTCTTCAGCAGCTTCTGTGGCTGGAGCGTCGGCACCAGGCTCCTCTGGCTTCGACTCAGTAGTAGTTGGCTCAGATGGGACGTCTTGTGGCTCTGTAATTGTCGCAACATCTGCCGACTCCGAAGCTTCTGCCTCTCCAACCTTGTCCTCGGCAGGCTTGTCTTCTACAGTCTCGAGCTTCTCTGTCTCAGGCTCTGCAGCTGCAGTAGCAGTCTCAGGCGGAGACTGTTCAGGCTCTTCTTGACCTTCATTAGAGGGAACTGGGTCCTCTATCGACTGTTCGGCCTTTTCTGCCTCCTTAACGGTGTCATCTGCAGCAGCTTCTGTCGCAGTAGCTTCAGCTTTGGTCTCCTCAGTTATGGGTGCCTCGCCTTCATGTGCGGAATCAGACCCAGGCTCGGCTTGTGAGTCAGGCTTAGCAGCGTCTGGTTGGACTTCTGCAGGGCTTGATTCGGCTTGAGATACCTCCTGCACAGCATCTTCGACTTCCTTCTTGGGTTCGGAAACCTCATTTGTAGATGCTTCGACAGACTCTGGTTCAGCCTGCTTAGCATCATGGTCTGCTTCGGGCTCTGCTACTTCGGCCGCCTCATCTTTTGTTACTGGTTCGTCAGATATTTTTTCTTCCTCTGCCGGCTCTGCTAGAGGCTCTGCTTTAGATTCAGGGGCTGATTCTAGAGCTGGTCCATCCGCTGGTATGTCCGCTGGTATGTCCGCTGGTGCAGAGTCAGCATTTGGTGAATCTTTGGTGTCCTCGGCATCTTCGGTTGCTGCTGGAGCTTCTGGCTCCGTCGAGGGAGGCGCTTCTCCTCCCGTCTCTTCATTCACTACATTCAGGGGCGACTCTTCGGTTGAAGTCACCCCGTCCTCCGGTTCCCGGGCTACTGACTCCTCCGCAGCATCAACAGTCGGTGCATCAGCAGAAGCTGGGCCGGAAGGAGGGTCGTCTTCCGATGTGGCCGTGGCTTCCGTTGCAACAAGGACGCCTTCTAGAGGAGAATCCTTTGTAACCTCGTCTCCCGTAGGGGTGGTTTCGGCAATCGTTTCCACTGGTATGGACTCGGTGGCTGCCTTCACTTCGTCTGTGACCTCTTCGGTAGTCGCATCTTCGCCGGTGGCTTTCGGAACATCGTCCTCGGCCACAGCCGCGGTTACCGGCTCGTCAGCAGGCTCTTGGGCAGCTGTTTGCTCAGATTCAGTTTCCCCTGCAGGCTTCTCAGCTGCAGATTGTTCATTTGTAGGCTCTTCGACACTTGGAGTCTCAGCCATCGTTCCTTCTGGAGCTGCATTTTGAGCCGCCGGTTCAGTAGACGCAGCATCTTCAACAGGTTCAGGATCTGCTGATCCTTCCGCCGGCTTCACAGACTCCTGGTCATTGCCTGCAGTTGTATCTTCCTTTGCAGCGTCTTCCGCGGCAGCATCAGGTATCGGTTGCTCAGCTGGTTTTGCATTAACATTCTCCTCCTCAGCAGCATTGGCCACAGGTGCTTCTTCCGGGGCAGGCTCTGTACTCTCAGTCATCTTCTCTTCTGTAGGTTTCTTCTCAGTGGGCTCTTCAGCAGGAGCTCCATCGCCCGGTTCCTCCTTCGTCTCAGAATCTGCGGCTTCTGCTGCTAGAGAGGATTCCTCAGCCGGAGCCTCAGGAGTAGTATCTGAGGATGCCGGTTCTTCGGCCGTCATATCTGTCTTCTCCTCTGCTTTCACAGGTGCTGATGCTTCTGTTCCAGCTTCAGGGGCAGACGATCCTCCTGCCGCCTCTGGCGTCTCTTCCTTCGGTTCTTCAGGTTTGGCCGCTTCTGCCGCGGGTTCAGATTCCTTGGAAGCTGCCTCTTGTTCGGTTTCTATCGCCGGCGCAGCTTGTTCAACTGTAGCCTCGGGTGTGACCTCGGGAGTTGATGCTTCAGGTTCCGCTGCGGGTTCAGCGGCAGGTTGGCTCTCTTCCGGAGCCTTCTCCTGAACTGAATCCTCAGGGGCTGGCTCAGGAGCAGTCGATTCCTCAGTGACCACAGTTATCTCCTGTTTCTCTTCCGCGGGTTTAGACTCTTCAGTCTTAGGCACCGGAACTTCAGAAGAAGCTGTCTGTTCCTCGACCACCGTAGATGTCTCTTCCTTTGCTACTTCAGGTTTGTCCTCTTCCCTCGCCGGCTCAGAAGATGACGAGTCCGCTTCCGCCACAGGCGCCTCCTCTTCTTTCACTTCTTGGGGTTTAGCCTCCTCAGCTTCGGCTTCAGACTCGGGTTCCTTATCCGCGGATGATGTGTTCGCCGTTCCTTTATTCTTACCCTTCTTCTTCTTTTTGTTTTTCTTGTTTCCAGGTGATGTCGTTACAGATTTCTCATTATTTTCATTATTCGTAGTTTCCACAGGGGTATTCTTCTTGTTTTTTTTCTCCTTTCTTTTGCTCTTCTTAGATGTGTGAGTCTGCTCTCCCTGTAGCTCCGGTGGATTTGATGATTCAGCCGCCTCTGCACCCTGGCGATCTTCAACTACGTCCTCGCCGCGAGGCAAATCATCTATTTCGCCGTGTTAGTTTTAATCAGTTTCATTGACATGTGTCCATTCAAGGGATATTCCATGTCGAGCATATATAGTGTACCTTCAGGGGTTTTGCCTGGCTCTGCCTCTCCTTCAGAATCCGTTAAATGAAGCTGAGTGTACTGCACATTTGAGAAATTAGAGAATTGTACGTTCGATATATCAAGATTTGTCCTAACGGGACAAAAGGCAACATTCTGTTGGTAGCTCATACTGTCGTTGGGTCCTCCGCTGCCTCAGGAACCAGAGGCTCTGCTTGGAGGGTGGGTTGGGCAGCGCTTAAATCAGTCGTGGCCGCCATACAGACAATACTGAGTGGTGTCACCGCGTATTCGGCTTTGTATTGGGCTGTCGGGTCGACGCAGTCTAATGGGCAGCCAAATGGGTGGGATCGGAGGTGCTTGGGCTTATTCCGGGATTGGGGAATAATACGTAGTCGTACAGATAATTATGCGGGTGCAACCCACATCCAGATGGGATGGCGTGAACAAGACAACAGCAAATCAAACGCAAAGAATCAGCACCAAACGACAATGGATTGGTGACAAAAACAGAGTGTATGTGATGTGAGATGCAAGATACAACAAGTCTTCCCAAAGCAAAAAGGGCAAATGAAAAGAAAAGTCTGCAGGACGGGATGTGGTCAAAGGTCATTGACGAAACGACTTGACCGCTTCCCCAAACGAAGCCCTTGTTTACATGGGCTCGTCGACTTTGTACAAGGCAAGGGACCCATTTCGGATAAAAGCACGTCCCAGTCCCATGACATGGCCACTTGGTTCATCTATGGAACCAAAACTGACATAACTCACGGACAACTTTTCTCGCCTTGATGAGCCACGAGTAGTACTACAGAACCGCACCACCCCTGCCCTGTCTGACAAGGCCGATATTGGATGGCAGGTCGACAGATAGCGCATCATCAGCTGTTTCTCATAGTCACCCCATGGCGGCTTGGTTGCTTTCTTCTTCTCCTCGGATTATCAATTAATGCCCGGTAGTCTAGACTTGACAATTTCTCGGCCACCAGGTTGTCAGCCGCTCTGAGCGCCGGGGCAAGTCGGACATCGATTGGGCTCTTGGCACGAGACATGTCAGTCTCCAAGATCAAGACCTGTTTGCTCTGAAACGGCAGACGTCGTGGCAGGTATCGGTGGAGGGCAGATACTGGCTGGCAACTTGCTTCTGCTGCTTGGTGTCCTTGGTGTCACTGCTGATGCCCGACGACAACGCAATGAGACCCTTTGGGTCTGCATCAATGGCCGGCGTCGAAGGGAGGCTGCAAGCAAATCATGAGCAGAGGTCGTCATGAAAGCGGACCCCGAAGTGTCGTCGTCGTGCCAGTGCTGGTTCAATGTTGGGCCTCGACGTTGCGTTGGCGTTGCGGAGCTCGTCAATTTGTCGACCCCGGCCGAATTGTGGGATAACGCTCGCCCAACTCGACCACTCAGAGACGACGTCCCTGCAGCCAAGTTTGGTTAGTGCCACCAGAATAAGGGACGATCCGTGCGACCCGGCGACACTTTCGTGCCTTTTGATGCAGCAGTTTGCATTCTATCGTCCGGGTGTCCAGAGGCCTGGCGTCTCTCTTCGACCCCTCGGGCACGCAAGTGCTTCACGAGTGCAACGTGGCTCGTGTCCAGTGGTGTCGGCTGCATAATTGGGTTGACTGCAGATGGCACGCACGAAGTCGGCGTTGAGGAAAGTGCTTCCGAATCAGGCCTACTCTCGTCTGGTGCAATGGTGCAAGACAGCATGTTGTAAGCGCGACTGCCTGGGCAAGAGCGACCTTGGAGAAATGCTCGTGCGGAAGTGGACCTTCCGTATGCTTGAGTGAGCAGCTCATGCATCATGACCGATGAGGACTGGCTCGCTCCACGGCCCTGGCCCGTGTACTACTCTGTACAATGCAATTGATATCCCTTCCTCCGTCAAGCATTAAGCTCAGATGGATTATGTCGGTACTTCCCTGGCATTTTGGCTCCCAGAATATAGCCCAAACAAGTCCCCAGGCCCAGGAATGGTCATGCTTTCCGCATGAATATTCGTCACACCCAGGAGCGCGCTGGCCTTTGTTGGAGTCATCACCACTCAACCACTTCCCAGGCTCGTTTGCCAATTTGCATGAAATAACATGTCCGGTGTCAATGGGTCAACGAAATGAGAATAGACAGGGTCCCTGTTGATTCGTCTCCACGTTAATGCTGGTCGATCAAGAATGTACCCACTTGGACACTGTGAACTGAAGTGAACTGACGACACCAGCCTCATAAAAAAAAAATAGAGGTACAAGATGTGTCACCGCAATTCTGATCACAGCATCTGTCTCGTTTTGTTTTCCCACAGCCTCGCTGGCTTATTGACCAAGTACTAGTACGGAGTACTCCGTACGTATCTCGGCTTTGGGGACCCTTGTAGATATGTGGTGCGGCCTCGGCGGTGAAGCAAGATGGCAAGGTAATACCAGGCAAATATCAACCGTCAATGCCAACCGTCACAGCCGGACTTCGGTCATGGCAAGGCAAGGCCGCAGCCTGCATCGGGAATCTACAGTGCACATGTACTAGCCCTGCAAGCTCAGTCAATAATCCTGCGAACCCCACGATGGCATTACGGTGAGTGAAAGACGTGAACACTTGCATCCGTAGAACACACACGATCGTGGAGTGGCGAAAAGCGGCCATACATCTTGTCGAATCGTCATAGTATTGACCAGCTAACTTTTGGAACTATTAGTTCATATCTTCATCGTTACATCATTGCCCTCTCTGGTGTTGTTTGTTTGCTTCAAATCTGATGTTGGTATCTCGGCATGCATTGTTCCACTCCACTTTCAACTGAGCCAGCACTAGCAACCAATTTCCATTGCAACCCATCGTCGACTGCTCTAATACCCGGTCAATACATTATCATCGTGATAATGATCAATTAATAGACTTTTTTTTTCACCAAAAGGTAGTCATTGGCATTGCTGTACCTGGCCATCCCTAAGAAGCTGGTGCAGTATCAGCCTTGTTATCCTCCACCTTTGGGACATAGTTGGCTTGTGCGCTGTTCTTCTTGATAACCTGTTTGACCTTCTCTTCAGCCTCGTCCCAGTCGTCCGTAGGCAAGTTCACCAAGTCGATGCCAAAGTGTGTAGCAATGGCACTAAGGGCGTCAAAGCTCCTCTGATCGTAGACAAAACTGATACTGACGCCAATGCGGCCAAATCGTCCAGTTCGGCCAATGCGATGCAAATATGTCTCGGCATCAGGCTCCTCGCCTCTTGGTCCAGGCTTCATGGGAATGTCGTAGTTGATGACCATGGAGACACTAGAAACGTCGATACCACGGGACAACAAATTAGTAGTAATGAGAACCTTGCTCTCCCCACTGCGAAACTTGGCGAGCAGCTGCTGTCTCTCACCACTGTCGAATTCTCCGTGCAAAACGGTGACCTTGTGGCCATCGTCCACCATGCGGCGCTGAATTTCACTGGCGCTCTTCCGGGTCTGTTTGACTGTGAGTGCTCAATCCAACTACCTGGTCACACAGCATACGTATCATACCTTTACGAAAATAATCGACTGTCCAACGGTCATCAAACCATACAGCTTGCAAAGAACATCATACCGCTCATTTTCCGCCGGGCAGTCTATAAACATCTGGGAGATGCCCTTGACGGTGAGTTCTTTCGTCTTCAGAATCAAACTGTTCGCATCCGGTGCGAACTTTGGAATGTACTGCTTTACTCGTGCCGGGAACGTAGCGGAGAAGAGAAGCACCTGGATGCTCGCGAGGGTGTCAGGTGGCAGAAGCCTAAGATTGTTCAGTTAGATCAAGACGTTTACTGTACGCATGAAGGGTGTTTGGGACTCACCGAAGCTTCACTCGAAGGCATTGGTCGCCAAGACCAGCCTGGTCCAACATGTTATCAGCCTCGTCTAGAACAAGGACTTTGAGCTTAGAACAGTCCAGCTGCTTGCGGCGGCCCAGATCCAAGACTGTGCCCGGAGTGCCAACTACAACACTAGCTCGAACTGCTTCGCCTCGAGGAATCCTCCCGGGTATGGCCAGCGCAACCTTGAGCTTTTCGATAAATCGCCCAATGGTGTGAATATTTCTGTAGATCTGGTCCGCAAGTTCTTGGCTAGGAGCCAGGATCAAGGCCTGTGGCTGTTCTGGTTGGGTGAAGTCTACACGAGATAGGGTGGCTGTGAGGAAGGCAACAGTCTTGCCGGTACCGGATTGCGACTGGGCAACCATGTTTTTGGGAGGGTTGCTTAGCATGAGCGGTAGAGATTTGCCTTGAATCTTGGAAGGCTTCAAGAAGTTCTCTGCGAGGAGGCCTTTGAGAATCTGCTCCGACCTAGGCGGAAGTGGTTTGTTAGTATTCCAACTATGAGCTTATGTGCCATTATGTCACACATACAGTCCCAAATCATCCCAAGTGGCAGCTGAGTAGATGGGGGCATCGTTGTCAGCACCACTAATGGTCACTTCGACGTCGCCATCGGCTTCGTAAAGAGCAGAGCCACCAAGGGCAGCGGATGCGCCATCAACCTGCGCGTTCGAAGCAGCCGCATCGTCCTTGGGGGCATCGTCCTTGGGGGCATCGGCGGCCGGTTCTTCAGGCTTTGTGATACGGCTCGCAAGATCAGACATTGTGATCGTAGTGATATTCGACAGATGTTTAGATATTTATAGACGCCACACTGGTTCAAGATCGATTGTTATCGCCAGATCAATGTGGGGAGGCCAATCGCTCGCTCCGTCGGGTGTGGTGATAGTCGATATATTGGTAACTAAAGAACAAAGGCGTAAGTCAGAACTGCCTGGGAGGGCTGGTGGTGAAATAGGCAACTCTAGAAATTGCTGCGTCCTCTAGTGGCGAGAAGGTGAAAGTTCAATGTTGTATGTAAGAAGGCAATGTTTGGGGGTAGGTGGTGCCTGCCCAAAACGGGGCTAGGCTGACACAAAAGGCACTGTCATTCAATGCTGTTAGCTAAAGAGAGGAGAGTCAACTCAATCCTCTAATAAATTTTTTCCCTACCCAGCAGCTTGGGGCAAGCGCAACGACGGTAGAAATTTTGGCGGGGTTTGGCGGGGCACAGAAGCTCAAGATGTCCCCGTGCCAGTTCCTCTGATGCCATTGAGTGTGCGAAGGTGCAGGCTATGTAGCGGACCCACTTTCGCGCTATACTTATTAATACCTTTATTGCCAAATCTAATTACAGTAGAGTAGTGTATTTTTATATATATTTACTGGTACTTATATTCTTGTATTATTTATTAATATAAATAAGTATCTTTTAATTATTGGCTTCTTATTGGCCCACATCCCGGTCCGCTACAAAACCTGCACCTTCGCACACTGATGCCCAGGTCGCTTGGCAACACTGCGCTGTGTCTCTGTGTCACCGTGTGCAACCCCGACCCGCCGTTTATCCGGCTGGCACTGGACGTCTGGGCCACAACACCCAAGTTGAAGGACTCAAAGGCTGAAAGTGATATTCAAGATTCAATATTCGCCTGCAGGTTTTCACTTCGCCCAAAACGAGCATCGAAGATCCCTTTGTAGAATCCAGCTCTTCGCGTTTCCAATGACGGCGCACAGCCTTGATTCGTAATATCGCTGAAAGGCCAACTTGGATATTCATCACCTGCAACCGCGCTTATTGGCGCCGGAAAGTCGCGATGGCTGCACCACCTCCTCCTCCGCCATCGAAGACGCCATTCTCGCTCTATGACAACCTCTTGGATCCCAATGATCCGGCTCCCCAGGCCACAATATCCTCCGCTCCAGTCTTATACGGTCAAGCTGAATCGGCTGCCGAAGCCAAGAAGTCTCTGGATCCAGCTCTGCGGTTTCAGCCCATCCGTCGTCTCCCCGTTAAACAGGCAGCCAAGGCAAAAGGCACCACATTTCCAAAGCCAATACCAGCTTCAAACTCAGTAGGCACTGCGGATCTAAGCACAAATGCAGCTCAATCAGCACCCCATGCCCCGATGGCCTCAACGGCCGCAACTGCTGGGCAGCCCGCTAAGAGTACTCTTGCTGACTGGGCCGCAACGGAGGAAGATGAATGGCGTTATGGCGTTGGTGAGAAGCGCCAGCGTGGCGGTCGGAAGAAGAAGAAGAAGCTGCAGCAGATCCAAGCCGAAACAGACTGGGATGAGATATATGATCCGGCTAGACCAACCAACATTGACGAGTACTTGAAAAGTGATGAAAAGATAGACGAAGTGAGAGAGTGGAAAGCACTGCTCTATCGTCACAGGAAAAAAGCGGATGAAAGCGATATATCAGACGATGAGGACGACGATTCGAGACCAGTGCCGTCAAGTAAGTTTTGCTCTTCTCTCCGTGACCGTCATTTTGTATGTCCATTGCTAACTCAAGTTCAGACCAATTCGCACCTCCCCCTTCATACTCCTTCGTACCACCACCCCCTGAATCACCACCAGAAGCGCCGCCACCAGATGAAAGCGCCGATGATGCCTACGCCCGCCGCATGGCCTTGTCTTCAAATAATCAACCTCCACCGCCGCCTTCACCGCCCACACAAACAGACGTGCTTCCTCCGCCTCCACCACCCGCAGACTCGGCAACCATATCTCGTGCCCCAGTCCACTACACTCAACCCACAGACTCTCGCGAAGAAGGCGATGCCTACTCCCCACCACCAACCCTCGGCGGCAACGACGAAGATGAAATCGGAGAACCAGAGGCTCAGCAACGTTCAAATCGTCCTGGCCAGGCCGATTTCGCCCACCGCCTCATGTCCAAATACGGCTGGACGCAAGGGACCGGCCTCGGCGCCAATGAGACCGGCATCATCAACCCTCTCCGGGCACAGGTCGAGAAACGCCGCAAGAAAGCCGATGCCGACGGCGGCGGGTGGGCAGAACCCGGGGGCAAAGGCAGAATTATCGGCTCCAAGAGCAAAGAATCGGCCGGCAAGTTCGGCGCCATGAGCGACGTTATCGTCTTGCAGAACATGTTGGAGAACATGCCCGATCTACAGGCCGAGATTGCCGATGGCCTGGGACAGGAAATCGGAGAGGAGTGCGGAGAAAAAGTGAGCATTCCCACTCCATGACAACTCATTCCCCTGCAACTATTCACTAACTCATGCTGCAGTATGGCCGTGTGGAACGTCTCTATATTGATCAGCCTACTCGTCAAGTATTCATAAAATTTACAGACCAGGTCTCCGCTTTGCGAGTATGTATCTTGCACTATATTCCAAGTCCTTTCGCCAAATGTAACTGCTAAACATGACACGCAGGCAGTGAACGAGCTAGATGGTCGTGTATTCAACGGCAACACGATAATACCTAAATTCTATGATTCGGAAGCATTTGAGAAAAGTATATACAATGTCCGGTGACATCTTCTCACATTGGTATATCAGGATAGTACATACCAAAGGGCGTATGTGCCTTACAGATACACAACGGTTTCATATATACACTAGTACCACTCCGTAACGCGTCATGTCGACGTCATGGGCAGTGCACTGATATTGTTTCGCAACACCAACATCGTGTTCTAGATGCCATGCACGCTTTTGTTCCAATAGTCAACCAGAGAAGCGACAGTTATGGGGGCTACGTGCTTCAAATGAACATATCAAGGTGCCATAGGGCATCGTAGTACAAACAGAGACAAGGACGTCATAATTGTGCTGTTCTTCACCCCTGGTTGTGATGGTGGCACAGCCCACAACTCTCAGTCCTTGCGGGACAAGCATCGTCACTAGGTCGGTCTGTATTTGCACGCCTTTGGAATGCTGCACACCCCATACTGCCGTTGCTTGGCGACGAACATTTTTTAGGTTTCTGGTACCTGGGCCGACAGTATTCTATGGCCAAAAATAGCTAGCACAGGTCCAAAACGATCAAAGCTGACTGACTCATTTGGTATGAACTAGTATCGCTAATGACTGACTGTCCTGGTGTGGGAAGTCATTCACGAGAGGGAAAACAGTAACGGATTATGACTCCTAGTCGTTTTACAAGAAGAATCAAATACAATCCATTATTAAGTCCTAGCATGTATGAGACGTACACTGGCCATGTTCGTCTTGGGCCCTCAACCTGCCCTTCTACAGGTGAGGCAGGGAATATACCACGCACTACCGGTTAAAGAAAAGACTGAAAATATGTGGAAGAACAGCTGAACGACGCCAACATCACTAAAGTCGTATACTTTTCTATCCGGGTGTCTTAGATCAATTGCGCAAAACCAGCAACAGCGGCAAAGCCCAACAAGGCGTGGTTGACACCAAGGCTCATGGCGGCAGAATCGGTCTTGTTACCGCCAGAAGTGCCACCCTTGCCGCCCTCATTAGCCTTTGCGTTGTTGGAGGTGCAAGACTCCTTGCCCTGGATAGCCTTCTTCTTCGCCAGATCATCGAAGAAACCGCAGAAGTCGGAGATATCGGTGGTGGAAGTCACGGTCACGGCGCCCTTGATGTCGTTAAGCTCAGGCATCTCGACACTGTTGCAAGATTATGCAGTTAGTACAAAAGGCACAATTAGAACAGGTATGACCCGAATCTTATGCTTACGTGTCAAAGCTACCAGCGCAAAGTATAGCACCTCCAATCGTCTTCAGCTTGGGAAACTGATTGATTTTCAAGAGAGCAGTGTTGTTGCGGATGGTCATGTCACCGTTGATCTTCTCCAGAGAAGTGAAGGAAATGTTAGCAAGCTTCTTGTTGTTGTCCAGCGTAAGAGAGTCCTTGATTTGAGTCAAGTTGTTGGCAGAAACGGATAGCAGATCTGGGCTCTCCTGGAAGCTAAGACGGTTGGCAGTCTCCAAGAGAGGAGCATCAAAGCTCTTGATGGATCGGAAGTCGAGTATGCCTGCGGATTGAAGCTGCGACATGACAATTTTCATGCTACCAGCGTTGTCCACAACAGATAGTGTGTAGGTAATGTTCTCGATCTTTGACTCGAACGAGTTAAGGCGGCCGTTATTGGCAATGGTGATATTGTCGGCGGAAGCGACGTTAAGGCCGCTAAGATCGCTGATGAAGGTGTCCTGAATCTTGATGGATGAAGCCTTGGTGACACCAGTGGTACCAAGTGTCAACCCGCTGAGCTGGGCGAGATTAATCAACTCCAGATTCTCGACAGACTTCAATGATTGCAGGTTGCAAGAGCTAAGAAGCTGAAGACCTTGCAAGCGAAGAGTGCCCCCAATAGCGTTGATGGACGACGAAGTAATGCCAACAAGTTGCGTGGCGTTGTTGATAATCAAGTCACCCTTGATTTGTTTAGGACCCTCGATGCTCAAGCTGCCCGAGACGCTCGAGTCGACAATGATATCTGCGTCGACAACATCGCAGTCGATGACGGGTGTGGGCTGGGTAACCTTGATGTCCTTAGAGCAGGTAGTGGCAGCTGTTTCATCATTAGAACATGAAAGATGTCCAAAGAGTTAAGCGAGAATAGGGCTTCTCACCGGAAGCGACGCCAGCAACAGCCAAGACGGCCGAGAAAAGCTTGACAGAATGCATTGTTTATCTACAAAAGAATTATTAGTAACCAACTGATACGGACGGTGACGTGGCGAACGATGCGATCGTGCAAACGTGATTGCTGGGGGATAGAATGTTCAGGGCTTCAACGGTTGCTGACTTTGATTGATTTCTGGTGTATATAAAACTCTATCGGCTGCAGTCCAAAAAGGGCTTCGACAGCTGGCAAAGAATGTTTGTCGAAGCAGATTGCGTCCCAATGATGCAAGATTCGAGGAAGGATTTTCTGGCTGGGTGTGTCGTTCACGGCGCAAGTCGCGACCCAAGTCACGAAGCCCGAGGCAAGTGTCGAAAGGAGGTTGCTGAGAGAGCACGAGCGTTTGGGCAAGACCGACTTGCAAAGGACAGCCACCGGGAATGGGACACTGATTTAGGGAAAGAGGGAAGGAGGGAGCGAGGGAAGCAAAGGCGGCAGGTACGAAAGGCAATGGAGATAGAAATTGTGAGGATTGGAAACTGAGGGAGCCACAGATGTGGCTGCGGGTGCGATGCCGAAACAACGTTCGAGACGTACCGTCCAAAGTCAATTCTGCTTGCCAACTTGGATTCCAAGGTCAAAGAAAAGTAAGTATACCGCCTTGCCAGTGGCTTCAAGAGTTGGGCAAGAAATAGGTTGACACGTATTAAAAAAAAAGGGCGATAAGGAACCTAGCGAACGAACGGCAGGAATCGAAATTTTGAAACGATGACACGACGGCGACGACAACGAAAGACGACGGCGGGAGGAAGAGAAGGAGGAGGAAGATGCATGGACAAGGAGGAAACACACCCAGGTCTTTTCTTCTTCTACTGGTCCTCGCCGGCTTCAACCAAGTGGACCGTGGACAGGCCAAACAACCTGGACGAGCTGCTCCCCAAACAAGACCATAATACCAGGTCCCATCGACATGGCCCGAACGGCACAGACCAAAGCCATCCACGCTGGGACCTGTGGCGAAAAGGGGGGTGTGGGATGGCGGTTGTGTGGCATGCACTTTCAACCCTCCCTTTGGGTGCCGTGCTTTAGCAATTGGATGCCAATCCCGCAAACTTGGCAACTTAGGCCGCTGTTTGCCAGAGGGGGTGGAGTTGCATGTCCATCTGGCGTCGACCGTGGAGACATTGTACCTGGCCTTCTCCGTACTAAGGTCTATGGGTTTACGCCGTCAATTCACAACACATTCACCACCAAAATGCCTGCTTCCGGGAGCATCAGGCTGGTTGTTGGTGAACAGTATGTGAGCATATGTACTATTGTACTCTGTAGTACGCACTCGGTCCATTCTCACACACACCCATGCACCCACCATGACTCCACTCGTGGACACGAGTTGATGAGGTGCCTGGCAGAGGCTCACACAATCGCTCCACAGCCACCAGCGCCACCATCGGCCCAAACGGCAACCTGGGCGTTGTTCGGCTCGTGACATTCGTACCAGTAACTGGCATTGTTGTTGGAGGGCGAAAAGGTATAGGTACCTAGGTATGTACAACTGGAAGAGGGGAGCGAGCACCGTGGCCCGTAGAAAGATCTTGACTCAGCCTTCACTAGAGCAATGTTGCCGCGTGCGACAAAATCTGCAGTACAGAGTCGATAGTCAGGGTCATCCACGGACCCTCGGCAATTGACCTTGTGTTATTGGGGTGATAGCTCCTTCGCACCAAGATTGCAATACGCGTCCTCGTGCCGGTGCAGTATTGGAATTGGCAAAGATGACGGCCAACTGGAGAAACCGAGATTAATACTGCCCCGTACTGGTGGTCATGCATACAGAACTCACTTCAATACTACAGTGCATGGAACCATCCCGGCCCATCTCCTCATCTTCAAGCTCCTGCTGCCGCTTCCAAGGGATGCGACCCAGGGCGCCACGCCCGATGTCTGGTGCAGGTCCAACGTCCAACGACACGTTACGGACAACTGGACAGGGGGAGTGAATGACATTCAAGACGACACCTGGGCAACTTGGTATTGACTCGTTCTGGGACGCTATTGATGGCATGACTTGTCGTAACGCATAGAGGTTTCCAAACCAGCGGTACAGTCTGCCTGGGATCGCCTGTACTCCCTATTGCGCTGCAGTTGTGGGAAGCATCAATGGCAAGTGAGATTCCTTATCTTGACAATCAACTACGTACGTCTGTATTGTAAAACCACGATACAAACGACAGCGTCTAAAAGTGTGCATTGCCCCCTTCACTGCGAAGATGCGCTTTTTTCCACCCACGAGTGAGGACGGCGGAGGGCAATCGATGGTGCTGATTGCGAGGCCGCCCTGTGGCGTTGGCGATGCGCTTCATAAACCTTCAGTATTCGAGCAAGCTGGTATGTGCGCATCACCATGTTTTGCGACAAAAATTCAATTGCCAATTGATGGGAACTGGGCTTCCTTTTTGGCGCTTTCGCGTTCACTGTGCAGAAGATGCCACGCAGCCACATCGTGATCTTTTGCTATCACCCCAATGGTCCAATCTCATTTCGAGCGATGCACTTTTTGGAGCAGAGTTCATTGTCTGGCTCTAGTGCCAATGGAAAAAGGGGGGGTTGTTACAGTGTAGCTGTATGTCCCTCTCCGTACTCCGTACTACTACGGAGTACTCCATAATATCTTTGGAGATCCAACAGAGCCAATCCCAGCCCAGCTCATCCTTGTTTCGGGGCGAGAAGTTGACCTGAATAAACCTTAAAAATGATATCTAGAGTGCCGGTGAGGGAGCATATCAGAACGGGCCAGATCAGCAAAGTTTGCTATGCTTTAAGGACTAACATTGTCCTCGAACATGCTGCGCCGCATATCATACCTGCCGTAGTAATGGCTCATCCTTGCGCTACTATCTCGTGATTGGAAATACGGAATAGCCGCTGGTTATTAGTCCGGAGCAGTAGATTCAGCAATTCGCTACGGATACCTGGCAATTTGACAATACATACATACGGTCGGCTCGAAACATGTTTCCTCCAGACACGCCCAGTGTCTTGCTCCTTACTTGTACAGTCAATGCCAATATCTATCATTGGGTGTTGATTTGCCCCTTGTGGTCCGATTGTTTATTATTATTATGGGCAGCTTTTCCCCTAAAACCCTGGCCAAAATCAGGCGGTCTATTATATGAGTAATCTCACCAGCATTCCCATCCCGCTCAAAAGGCCTGGAAACCTCATGATGCAACAAGGGCAATGAGCCGCCTGCCACCAAAACCTGTATGACGATGTATTCGCATCTAATCCATTGGTAGTGTTCCAGGCCGATCTTCAGAGGGCACAGAGCCCTTTGTACTCCGACCCGCTCAAGCCATGCATACATATGTACATGTATACAGAGGCAAAGAGCCTACAGGGAATGGGGCAATACTAAGTAGGGAAGACATGCACGCTGGGCTCGCTTCACATGCCTTGATTAATACGAGGTAGCGGTTCAAGCTGTTCCTGGACATGATCCCGGAGTCTGGGACGCTCGACGGGAAGACTGGACCTTGGCAGAAGCTAAAACGTAGACCAGGAATGCTCGAGAAAAATAGTACTGGTACGTCTACTACTACTAGTATCAATGCCTACCCCTTGCCGCTGGTATTGCAACAATGTTGGAGCTCGTTGGAGGCCGCGTCGTATTGTGCCAGCAGCACCCTTCGCGTCATGAGTCGTCGAGTATTAATACATGCCCCTCGCCTCCCCTCCATTTGTTACTCTCAGATCTCACGTACAGGTTCAAAACTAGTATGCACACGGTGCTTGTCATCCATTTCAAGGTTCGTCTCGATCGGCAGTGCGATCGACGACTCAGCGTCCCATGGCAGGCCTATCGCAATAAGGTGTCCATGTTGAAACGTTCAATGCTCTTCCAACCATGCGCAAATGGCCCAATCACCGCGCGAAACGGCGGCTGAGACTGTCGCCTCGATAGATATTGGCCAACAGTCCTAGTTTCCAGGGAGAGGAATTCACATATCTGAAACAAGCTCCTGCCAGCTCCCATACAATAATATTATGTACGGATGCTAGTCCAAGGCGTGGGAGACAATGGAAAGGACAAACTGCCTTTTCATGATAAAAAAGCAACAGAGTCATTCTGACGGAAGAACCCGTCTGCTGTTCGGAGCCGCATGCCGAATTCAATGACGCCATCACTACTCCAGGGTACTCACGTCGGTGTAGCTGTCCTCGACTCTCCACATCAACCACATAAACAAGCTCCTGTATGGCGCAAACTTTTCCGATATATCCAACATCTCCCTCTCAGACATGTACTTCCACTTGCCCCCCTTGGACTTCAACTTGGCCACGTCCCTTCCAACAAATGCTGCCATGCCTCTCTGTACACCTAGATCCCCGACAGAAAACACATCCATTCTCTTCAATCCGAAGCAGGCAAACATTTCCACAGACCATCTCCCCAAACCCCGCACTGCAATCAACTTCTCAACCAGTTCCTCATACGGGGCATCATGTAACATCTCGGTGCTCAACTCGCCATTCGCAAACTTTTCCGCCAGGCCCTTGATATACTCTGCCTTGCGCTGCGAAAGCCCCGCGGTACGGAGCGTCTCAACCGGCACGGGGGCCACCTCTGACGGATGGGGGAACCGCGTCGTCCTGTCCCGGGTGTCAAACAACGCCAGGAATTTGGCCTTGATAGACCTGGCAGCTGCGCCGGAAACCTGCTGCGAGATGATGCCACTTGACAGACTCTCAAACGGGTCGATCTTCTCGGCCAGCCCTTCCGGCGAGAATACTTTGCAGTGATTGCGCTCTACGAGCGGCCGCATCCTCTCGTCCACGCTGATTAGATGCGCACATGCGACATCGAGTAGATTTTCCGTAGTGATCCTCGTACCGGGCTTCTTAGATGGCGACCCTAGATCTATGTCCTTGAATGCCACGACCCTCGACGTCTCTGGCGACAAGAGCGTCGCATTGGTCGCAAGGGGGTCAGCTAATCTAGCAATTGTTGGGTGAGTCCGAGGCTTCGTGCTTGCTGCTGGCTCGGCAATAGCTCCTGCTGCGCTGGGTGTTGGTGTCGATGGTGGTACAGGTTGAATACGTTCCGTCCGTCGCTTTGTGGGTGTGACTGGTGCTGTTGCTTTTGATGTTGAAGCCTTGCGCTTTCGGTTATTCTGTGTGGAATTTGCAGTCTGGTCTTCTGGCTGCGGGGATGATGGCTTTGCGTCTGACTGGGCACTCAGCCGTGATGAGCGTCTTGTTGCTGCCATTATGGAATTCACGACGTATCGTGGACGTCCGTGAATGTAGGAATGGTGAGATCCTGGTGATTGTATAAATGATGCAGTGAGCCGTGATGTCATGTGAAGCTTGTATGGGTGTACCACCGACGAATCAGTCAGATTGGCGTATCTGGATATCAGGCCGGGGACACGGTGTTGTTTTCGGGTGTAGTTTGATGTAGAAAAGGTTGATGTACTCGGATAGCAGGAGGCCGTGAATTCTGGCCCTGTATCGACGATGCACTTGGCACGCCCTTGAGTGGCCGCCAGGGGCACTCTAGTCAAGAAACGCCACCAAGCCCGTTTGGTACCTTCTTTCGCTTCCAGAGAAACGCCTACTATTTTCGACTGCAATTGATGCTGGTGTCCGCCGCAAGGAATAAAGCCAGCACTCGAATCAGCAAGTTAAGAATGCATCATCTGCGAACCCAAGCAAAAAAACCATGGCGCCAGTTTCAAACAGAAGAAAGGCGAGTTCAACAACGTCTTGGCCAACTATCAATTGGTGTATCTTCCAAGGTCCCGGGTAGGAACCCCCCCCCAAACAGAGCATATATAGCCGGAGTAAATCCGACCACCACCCACGAGAGCCGGCGGGCAAATTTTACCCACAGGCAACGCGAGCGGTCGAAGCTATCACGAAACCCTTTGCGCTCGCCTCTCACCCAACCTCGCGTCCACAACCACCAGCATGAGTTTCGTACCCGTCAACCCGCGGCCCATGCTGCAAGAACTCGTCAACAAGCCCGTCTTCGTTCGCCTGAAGTGGGGTCAAGTCGAGTACAAAGGCACTCTCGTGTCCGTCGACAGCTACATGAACCTTCAGCTAGCTGGTACCGAGGAATATGTTTCCGACAAGCCCACTGGATTGCTGGGGCAAGTGTTGATCAGGTATGATGCTTCCAAGCCACGCGTCATCCTCCGCAAGACCAGACCATGACTAACTGACATGTAGATGCAACAACGTGCTCTGGGTCCGCGGCGCAGACGATTCCAAAGACGCTGCCATGTCAGGTTAACCGGCGACAACCTGCAAGTGGTCTCTGCGGGAAAAAAAAATAAAGAGGACCGATCTAGTCATTGGGTGGACAAATTGTCTGTCGAGCTATATTTGCCGAAACGCGATACGCCTTGGACAGGTCATATTCGCCTGTCACCAATGCGAATAACCATGTATTATGACGAACTACGATGAATAGAGCACAGATTCAGTCTTGGTACACAATTTCAACCGAGACTAGGAGAAGGGGGGGCTCGCTTCCGGGAAGAGATACCGTACTTTTTTCTTATAAAACACCGAACCATGCATATAAGCGCAGGTTCGAACGGCTATAAGTTCATGGCCACAACGTCGGTATCAAATACCCACCACACAATTCGCGCGGCACACGTTTTGCCATGGAGGAATATCGAATTTCTTGTCTCACTTGGCTCAGGGCTCTTAGGAGACAAGAGAAAGAGACAAAAGCTTAGCTCAACACCCTACTGAAAATATTACATGGTACTTGGGAAACATCAGAAATGATCAGCTCCTTGTTGAGGGAATGACTGCACTCCTCAGCTAGCTTCTAGTCCTCATTAGATGCCAAGGTTTCATCCTGTTCCAGCTCTCAAACGTGAATTTTCTCGTGATCCTGTGAAACAAGAATATCCAAGACTACGACGACTCGACACGGTGAACTATCGCCCTGTGCTCATTCTTGAGTGCCAAAGGCGATGAGAGCACCCAGCTTCAGCTATAAGTTTTGGCTAATCACCAAGTCCATTTGGTATGAATGCTTATCCTATCCGGCTCTCTCCTCCAAGCCGTTGGTGACACTGAGGGCGTGGATCTGTTCATGAGACTTGTTTTTCTAGTTGGGAAATGCTGTTAGCCTGGAAAGAGCGGGAGGCATCCGCCGCAACACGTGTCAAGCAAAATAGTAGACGCGAGCTCTCCTCGCAGAGTACACCGACGGACTGCGGGAGCAGGTACATATGCATGTTCATGAGCTCGAATGGGGAAAGTCGATGGTTCAACGCATGGCCATCTACTGAGCATCTTGAACCAGTCTCGCCAGGATGCCTTGATGAGACATTGGAAGCCAGTCGGCGGCGCCATTCACCATTCAGCACCAGGGAGAGCACGAACAATGCAGAACCAATACTATTCCGTACCGGACCCCGACCCTTTGGATATAACGGAAACAGCATTACTCTCCCTCGCAGAGTACAATCCCTAGAGTTTGAGTTTGCTTGCGGCCTGCACGTGTGTGGCCGCGAACGTGTTGGGCTTGGCGCTCTTGCCGTCAAGTTGTGAGGCAATCAGGCCCCAGATGTCCAGCGGGGACACCACAAGCCAGGGGTTCGTTCTACCAAGAAGTTATGCACCAGAATTAATGCAACATCGATTCTTCCCTGGCAAGAAGGGGCCAACGGTACTAGTAGTATATTACTCCGTACCCGTCGGCGACTAATAAGTGAAGGAGCCACTTATTAGACGTGACATTCTTAGCGATTGCACTGCCAGCATGTGGCGGGCCGAGGGCATCGTGCTCTGACACAACTTGACCGTTTTGAGACAGCATGTGAGGCATAGTAACACAGAGCAGGCTGGACAGTGAAACAATGTGAGCATTCAATTATGCGATATGGCTCCGATAATTCCATTGCGGCCGCTAATGGTATAAGCGGCGCACAGGCACTACCTCTCTACGTGGGGGAGCACTGAGTGCCAGGTACGCATGAGAACCGTGACATGCAAATTTAGCATTCCTTGTATAAAGTTGTGTGATACAGGCCGAACGACGGGGTTCAAGATTGAAGCCTGCTTAGTGACAGGGCTTCTAAATTCGGCACGGAACTGTTCCCCGTGGAGTTAGGGTAGAACTTGGGAGATACTACTCAGTTCAGTCCAATATTGCAGCCCCCCGGCGGCGAGAAATGATGGGCAGTAAGCCAGTCCCAGGTACTCCATAGCCTGTCCGAAGTACCTCCCTCCAAGTTAAGCTTTGCCCAAGTGCCCAGCTGCCGGCATCAATTGATCCCATTGAAAATTTTGATGGGCCCCCTTGGCTCCCCAGTGCTCCGGGCCTGTCAGCGGGAAAGCCCCAGTGCCAACTCCCGTCGACAATTTGCCCAACAGGCACGCAACAGTTGACCAGGTACACCCACTGTACCCAATACCTTGCTATTGACCCCATGGCCTGGCCTGGCCCTCCGAACTTTAGAACATTGCATGCACCGGTTGACCATTCCGCTGCATCCTGAGGTCAACTTCAGTGCCTGTCCATACCCGTTGCGCCAGTGAAACTAGACGCCACGAGGAACCACGCCTCACCATTTGTCCCTTTCCCGTCCGCTGCTCGTTTTTCCTGCAATCAATGTTCCCATTGATAAGCTGTTGTCCAAACTCTCTGCAACACGGCCGTCTTGTTGTTCTGCAGCTGGCATTGCATTGAATTGGCTTGATGTGATTGTCAAGGCAGGAACCGGTCTCATCCATCTCTTCTTCTTATTCTTGTCTTTCTCGAGTCTGCTTTTGACTCCATCGCTCGTTTGTGCCACATCATCATCGTCCACGCAATCGCCATCCCGAAACCCCTGGCTCCCACGACCCAAAGGAGCCGATTTTTGAGAGCACGAGACGATCCGATTCCGCGCACGATATATTCCGTACTGCCCGTTGGTTTACCATAAACTCTTTGCAAATCCTTTCGATCCGGCTGTGGCGCATTGCCAGCATCCCAATCGCCCAACATGCTTCTTCCTAAAGGTGGTTTGAGTTGGAAAGCCGCCAGAGCACAATTGCCGCCCACCCGCGTTGTCTGGAACCTAGTTACACGGACGCGCTTCTTGCTTCTCGTTGCAGTCACTGGCATCATTTTGTTGCTATGGCGAGGTATTAGCAGCTCAGCGTCGGAAATGCAGAGGTAGGACAATGCGATGCAGATCCCTCCCGCCCAGCGTTTTTGCTGCAGCATTGAGTCGACGTGACTGACAAATGACGGCCGTGTAGCTTTTACTGCTGGGGACCGTCAACACCTCCGATAGAGATGTCGCAGAATGAGTATTCCCGGTGGAATGCGCACATGCAAACACCCGTCATCTTCAACCACCACGCTCCTCTCAAGGTCCAGTCGCCGACGATACAAAACGTCGACTTGAACCCAATCAAGTCTACCCGAAAGGCCGTTGCAAACGAGGAGAGAATCCTCATCCTTACCCCGCTCAAGGACGCCGCGTCTCATCTTTCCAAATACTTCGAACTCCTTGCCGAACTTTCCTATCCTCATCGACTGATTGATCTAGCCTTCCTCGTCTCCGACTCCAAGGATGATACCCTGGCGGTCCTTGCGGCCGAGCTCGAACGTATTCAGAAGCGACCGGATAATATCCCATTCCGAAGTGCTACTGTTGTTCAGAAGGATTTCGGTTACCACCTTAGCCAGGATGTTCAGCAGAGGCACTCGTTCGAAGCTCAGGGTCCTCGCCGAAAGGCCATGGGCAGAGCCAGAAACTACTTGCTTGCTAGTGCTCTGAAGCCGGAGCACTCTTGGGTCTACTGGCGGGATGTTGACATTGTCGATAGCCCCGCTAAGATTCTTGAGGATTTTATTGCTCATGATAAAGATATCTTGGTTCCTAGTAAGTCATAAGGGTTCTGCGCTACATTTACGCTTTTGAAATGCTAACAACTTCCGTCTAGACATTTGGTTCCACAGATACGAGAAGGGTGTCGATATCGAAGGTCGATGTATGCTGTTTGCTACCTTGGTGACTCCGACGCACAGAAGCTAACATGATATAGTCGATTACAACTCGTGGGTTGAGTCGGACAAGGGCCGCAAATTGGCGGCTAGTTTGGACAAAGATACCGTTCTCGCCGAGGGTAAGTCGTACCATGTTATGCAATCTCTGAACGAGTACTCACATGTCTGCAGGATACAAACAATACGATACTGGTCGTACTTACATGGCAAAAATGGGAGACTGGCGAGAGAACAAGGATGAAGAGATTGAGCTTGACGGTATTGGTGGTGTGAACATTCTTGTCAAGGCCGATGTTCACCGATCCGGTGCGTATATATACTTGTTTTTTTATTGGAAAAAGTGTAGGCTGACTGATTCATAGGCATCAACTTTCCTTCCTACGCTTTTGAGAACCAAGCCGAAACGGAAGGTTTTGCCAAGATGGCGAAGCGAGCCGGCTACCAGGTTGTTGGTCTCCCCAACTATGTCGTCTGGCACATTGATACCGATGAGAAGGGCGGCAACTTATAAACAGAAGCAAGCCTGTCAACACGGTTTGACGGATGAAACCGGCAACCGTCAAATACCATCAAAATACGATTCACATGTCTGATATTTCGCATGGACTGATTCAGAAGGGTCTCCTCGACTGGTTAATGGTGGAGAGACAGATTATTGTATGAGCGTTCATGATACTTTTTCCAAAATTCTCGAGGGCGCAGGTTGGCTGTAATTGATGGACCGAGGCTTTTCCTTTCAACTCTTCTTGATTTTCGGAGCCGACGATATATTTGTGGCCTACATTGTTGTTGTTGCAGGGTTGTTCTGGCTTGATGGATGGTGGAGGGAACTGGTGTTTTTTGTTCCATGATGCTGGGCTGTGGAACGACAGGCCATCCCTTATTTCCATGACTGCTGGACGCCGACATTTTCATACATTAGGAGCCTTTGTGTTTTTTGTTTTTTCCGTCTTCATAGTCCTAATCGACTATACTGTGGGTCTGTTTGAAGATATTGCTTTTGGGTGTAGATGACTACTGTAAAGCAACGGGGGTTTAAACATAATAGACACAAAAATGATTCGATATACTATTGCCTACTGCAGCCTGTGTGCATAATCTTGCCTATTCGCTTCCTTGCTGGGGGTGTCATATGTTCCTGGCCGAGTCCGGTATGGCTGGCGTCACATGATGAACGGGTGAAACACGGCTAAACATTGATGAAGTGGCCAATGACCCAACCCTGAGCGTTGCTGGGCAAGAGTGCCGTCATCAGCCAGTTGACCCGCTGATAGATGCGTCCCGCTTGACCTGGACAGGCAGCGATGCCGCCACATGCGGTTCATTTTACTGCTCTGCAGCCTCCATACATTGTCCGTAGATTATTGCCTACGCATCCCTCGTACCGCCAACTGCCAAATCAAATAGAGTTACGTCTTTACGTCGATCTACGGCCATCTACGGCAGAGCGGGATTTGCCTGAAGGCATTTATTCCGCTGCCTTGACAACGCCTACCGCCTACCGCCTACCCCGACTTCGCTCGTCGAGAACCCGACCAAGTTCGCCTCACGATTTGTGTCAAGAATACCCCACCAAACGACTCCGGCACTCACATTCACGCGACGGAATCATCCAACCGAGGCCGACGGCTCTGACCCTACAATACCTCGACCACTGACGAGAGTTTATTGTAGATACTCGCTCCTTACTTTCACAACACACACGTAGCTTCTGAGCCGTTATCTACAACCCGGACATTCGACATGTGGAGCTGGTTCGGCGGTGGTTCCGCCCAGTCTCGCAAAGACTCTCCCAAGAATGCCATCCTCAACCTCCGTTCGCAGCTTGATATGCTGCAGAAGCGAGAGAAGCACCTGCAGAACCAAATAGACGAACAGCACAATATTGCGCGCAAGAACGCCACTACAAACAAGAATGGTAAGGATTACAATGTGCCATGACTCCCTTTCTTCGGGCTATTGAGACCTGGACGATACAAGGCATATCATGGGAACAAGAAGGGAATAGACACTGACTTTTCGTATTTGATTTTCAGCGGCAAAGGCGGCCCTGCGACGTAAGAAGGCGAACGAACATACCTTGGATCAGACCTTGGCGCAAATAGGCACCCTCGAGACGCAGATCAATGCGATAGAATCGGCCAACATTAACCACGAGACTTTGCTGGCGATGCAGCAAGCGGGCAAGGCCATGGCGAATATTCACGGCAAGCTTACGCCAGAGAAGGTCGACCAGACAATGTATGTGCACCTTGGTATTCGACGAACTCGGACCGTCATCATGCGGGACGTCTTGGCGATGGATATGCTGACCTGGATTGGTATAGGGATGAACTTCGAGAGCAAAACGCACTTAGCGAGGAGATTGTCAATGCAATTACTTCGAATCATATTGGCGAGGTCATCGATGACGACGAGCTAGAGGACGAGCTGGACCAGCTTCAGCAGGAGAAGCTGGACGAGGATATCCTCAAGACAGGAAGCGTGCCTGTTGCAGATATTGTGCACAAAATGCCGTCAGTGGCAAACCAGGAGCGTAAGTTTGGCCAAGCTATTTGAAAAAAAAAAGACAGGTGGTATGCACAGTTGCTGACACGGATTACCAGCCGTTCCAAGCAGGGGCCAAGCGGTCGAAGAGGACGACGAAGAAGCCGAGCTCAGAAAGCTCCAAGCCGAAATGGCCATGTAAGGACGGAGCGTCAATGTCCGCAGTTTATCGCATAGCATATGTTGGCGAGCGTCGAGCAGCACAAGGAGAAGACTCGAAAGGATCACCGTCTCTTGCAGTATTTCACCGGTGTTCTGTGCTCATGGATGGATGGTGTTTGTCTGGCGTTGGCGTATCAGAGGTTATTTCCCTTTCCTGGTGCCTTTCTTTTCCTCCCCCTTTGTTCTTCAAGCATAGTTCGATGTGTGGGAGACAAATAGCACACTCGATGTGGTATTTCAGCAGGTGGTGGCTCTCCATGAATGTAAATCTGAAGGTTGAAATAGAAGACAATTACTCGTAAATTGCGTTCGTCTCAGCCACGAGACGTTGACGGAATGATTGGATCCAGCGGTCCTGCAACGAACAAAGGACGTCTGCATTTTTACAAACCAGGCCGTGGGACTTGCCGCCTAACCGGCGTCTACCAACAGAGCCAGGTGGATGAAAGCTGCGCCTCAAGCAAGAGTCACGGCTAACCGGCGCCCCTCGTCCAAAACAGTGTTTCGAAACATGCGACTGCAGAAACGTAGAGAAACGGATCCCGCCCCCAGGCCTGGGCCCAGGCGGCCTATTTTAAACACTTCCAACACGCTCTCGCGCCAAAATACTCCAATCCCAACGGTTGGGCGGCGTCACACAATGCTGGCACAAGGCTCTTGCCGACATTGTAAAAGCCTTGTTTGGGCCGGTGAAGAGCACCGGTACCACGTGACGTGTTTCATGATGACGGCTGCTGGCGGTTGGCAAGGGTGGACGGCGCTTACATGGCACGGGCGGCTACGCGGCGCGGCCTCTCAGCCACTCGATGTGCGTGAAAGCACGGCGCCGTGCTCCCTCGCATGCAGATGGTTGGCTGAGCTGACCTGCGCACGCACGAGAGGTGCAGATTGGAGATGATATGGGTTGAGCGTGCTGATGACGCAGCTGAGGATGCGATGATACTGCATGGGCGGTTGCGAGGCGCTGGTGTCGCGGGGGAGGGGGGAGAGAAGTGAAGAGCCGGGACTCAAGAGAGGCGGTTGATATTGTTCATCGTCTGGGCCTTTATTGTTTCCGAGAGTCTGCTCTTGCCCCTCGCAATTTTCATTTCGCCTATTATCGTTGTCTGGATATGGATGTGATGCTGGTCGTCTGCTGTGCTAGACGGTTCTAATTAGGTGAGTGCGAGTCTCGTCATGATATGGCCTCGAGTGATCCCTCACAGCCGTGGCGACTAACACGCCGCAGATGCCTCGTTATAGAATGTCCAGTGCCCGATTGCTGCTGTTGTCACTCGTTTCTACAGCACTGGCCGCCGAGACATTCCATCGAAAGTCCAACCTCACTGTCGCACTGGCTGATGTGGTGCCCGCCTGTGCGGAGGACTGCTTCATCTCGTTTCTCAGTGCAAACTATGGTCTTGCGCGGGGCGAGGAGATTCCGTCCCTCGAGGAACTCTGCTCCACGGATGGCAACACGGGATTCACGGTTGGGGAGGGCGCGGTGCAATGTATTGCCGCCGAGCAGGCGGTGGGAGGGTGCTCCGACAAGGAAGCCGACTGTGAGTGTCATGTTTTATACATACAAGACGGTTGTATGAGGCTGTGCTGAGACTAACGGGGTTCATCTTCTTTCAAAAAAAAAGCACCGGCAATGTCTAAAGCGTACTATATGTGCAGGGACGAGCCCGGCGCTCTTACACCCACCCACGGTGTCATCACGGCCACGTTGGCTGTGCCGCCGTCCGGAGGAGGACCTATATCGTATCCCGCGCCTTCGAAAACGAAAAGGCCATTTACACGGATGCACCCTCCTACGACTTTGATCATTGAGACGCACTCTCCGACGTTTTCGCCGTCCTGGAGCCCCGATACCACCTTCAGCACGGCTGTTGTGAGCACCACCACGGAAATCACGGGGACCAGCTCTTCCACGGCAGAGCCTGCGGCGGCTGCCTCTGGTGATTCCATTACGCCGGTCCAAAAGGCGGGTATCGCAGTGGGAGTAATTGGCTTTGCGGCCGTTGCCATTGGGCTTTTATTATTGTTCAGGCTGTACAGGGCGAGGAAGAAGCGTGGGGGACACACACCATTGGCGAGCTCGCCGCGGAGACGAGATTCCTGGGGATACAAGTTTGACAAGAGCCGTCGGGAGAGCAGCAGCGAGCCATCCTGGATGGCGAACCCGGTTCATCCGCCGAATGATTCTGCTCAGGGGCCATCTGCAGCTGCAATGACCGGCGCAATAGCAATAGGGGGACAAGCAGGGGCGAGAACACAGCAACAACCACAAGCGGCGATGCCAAAATCACCGCCGCCAGGGGCGTACAACCGGTCGAGTTGGCGGCCGAGCCTCATCGGTCTCGCCCTGTCGCCCTCGCACTCCAAGAACACCGGCCAAGGCACAGCAACACCGACGCGGCCCGTCTCGAAGCTTCTCCCTGCCAAGCCGATACTCTCCTTGGATATTCCCAAGAAGCCGCCTACGCCGCCGCCAAAACATACACCACCGCCCCCCGGATCGTCCTCCAGGAAGCAATCAGCGACGACTCCATCGCGGGAATACACACGGATCGCATCCCACCCCCCTGTTCTGCCGAAGCTGCAGATTCCGCAGGGACATGACTTCCTCCACATTCCCAAATCGACCAACAAGCCTCGCGAAAGCACAATGACCGAGTTCGAAGAGGACGGACGTGAGTCATCGACCGTCTTCTCGCTGGAATCTCAGATCTGGAGTGCCCCTTCTGCCGCGCCCTCGTCCGCCGCTGCGAAGTGTCACGCTGTTGACAGGCATGGGAACTGGATGCCCAGTGACTCGAACCTTGTGCAGGCTGCAGAACTGGAGGGCACGACGCCACTGAGTGCGTATCCCAAGCTGGCTACGAGCATGGCCGTCCTCCCGGTTGGGACGAACGGCCGAGGTGAACAACCTGGCCAAGGGACCGCGAAACGTCCCTCTCACCGCCGCTCGTCGTCTGCGCCTATGCCACCTAATCCCGCCCAGCAGTCCATAAGGGTGGTGACCGAACCGCTCGCGACACTGAAGGATGGTCGGGATAATGTCATCCCGAGGCCCTTGTTCTCTGATATGGGAGGGAATCCTCGAAACGCGTCGGCGACTGCTTCTGCGAGGCACTCCTTCGGCCGGAGCTTGACGAGACCCCGGGCCACGTCTGGGGATAGCGGGATCACAAACATCAGTGTTTCGTCCGACGAGGAGCATGAGCTACAGCCACCCAGGAGGATGTCGCAGGCAAACTTGTCTCCGGTAACGGAGTCGCCCCGTTCAGGAAACGGCAAGTCCCCGGTATCGTATCCCAAGATCCCGGGCAGAGAGAATGGCCTCTCCGGCAAGGAGAGATCCGCCCAACCGCCAAGAATGCCGATTTTGTATAAGTCGGCTCACCATAGGACTGCGTCGGGAGGGATAGGAAACAGCGTTGCCATGCTGACAGTCGGGTCTTTGGCTCCGAATCCCAACCCGAACATGCCCAAGGACACGAAAAATGCTACTAGTACATCGGCGACAATGGCTGGGCCGCCGCCGAATGCATTTAAGCCCATTATTCCCACTACCAAGGTCACTACAGCCTCGCCGCACCAGTGGGCGAGTGCGTCTCGGGGGCCACGGCCAATGCAGAATCCGGGCCTCCCTCGAACTGGCTCCCCGACGATGCGGATTGTTGAACCTTCTCCCGAGCCTGACGATGACAGGGCTATGCTGCCATCATCCGCTCGACCTCGAAGCGTGCAGAGTGTACAGCAGCCACAGCCTCAGAGGCAACAGACTCAGTTGCAGCCTTCCCCGTTCCCGGCTTCTCAGCAACGAAGTCAACAGGTGGCGACACCGGCAGTCGAGCAGCGGCCGGAATTCCAGGCCCGATCTAAAACGCCAGCACCGGTACAAAGTCAACCGTATTCTCAACCCTATCAACATCCGATACAGCCTCAACTACAGCCTCGGGCTCAGAACGAACCTTGTCCGCAGCCACAACTACGGCCACAGCAGCAGCAGCAGCAGCGTGTGCAACAAGCTTCTCAAGCTCAGGCTCAAGCTCGAACAAGCCCGGTACGACAAAGTCAGCAACGGCAAATTGCTCTTTCACACCCACCTCACGTCCGTCAACACCAAATTCACCCGGAGCAAGAAACTTTCCCACATCAACAACATGGACATGCAACGCAACCTCACCTTCAGGTTCAACCAACCCCTTTACAACCAACCCCTTTACAACCAACCCCTTTACAACCAACCCCTTTACAACGGGAGAACCAAGAATTCCCCCTATCCCAAGTCCCTCCTGCTCAAGCTCGGCCAGAAAGGGGAGCTGCCCAACTGCAACAAGAACAACCACCTCAACGAGACACTCGGCCACAACAGCCACCGAGAGACAACCACCCACCACAAGAGCAAACGCAACAACAACCCCCAGTGCAACAAACCCAACGGCCAGACGCTCCCAACTGGATCCCCGGCCTGCCCGCACATCCTCACCCCCTCCGCCGGCCCCAACACACGAGCACACTCTGGCTACCGCCGCAAGCCCGCAAGCGCGACTCCCGCAAGAAGAGGAAGACGATCGAGACAGAGCCAGACCATCACGAGCAGTCTCCCATGCGGCCTCTGCGGCGACAACCCGTACACCCGCCGCCACAATCGCAATTCCAAGCCCGGCAGTCGTTCCAAACCGCTCCATTCCAACCACAGCAGAACCACCAACACCAACACTCTGCAATTCCACCGTTCAGAGTCCACCAGCCCATCCCGCAACACCAACAACCACAAGACCAAACGGCAGCAGATCCAAGCCAACAACAGATGTACATCCACCGCCCCCAGCAATGCGCCTACCCGTACCCTGACCCCCGGCAATATCCAAACCAGGGCCCGGGACACCACTACCCCCCTTCCTACCCTCGTCAACAACAACAACAACCACAACCACAAGGCCAACCTCGACAACAATTTCAACAACCCCCACTAGACCAGTACTTCCTCCAGCAGCAGCAGCAGCAGCAGCAGCAGCCACCCCAGGTCTCCATCGTCGCCAAGCGGCTCGGGCGCGACCGAGCCGTCAACATGTCCATATCAACGGACTGCACCTCCTCGGCGAGCGGTTCGAATAACCGCCACCGCGCCAGCGGCGGGCCCATGTATTTATCTCCAGAGGTCGTCACCCCTCGCGGGTCTTCGGGGGACCTGCCTTCGACGCCGACGTGGCTGCCTAGGTTGACGCCCACGAGGCGAGGTGCTGATTTGTACCTCAACGTCCAGTAAAGCGGACAAGCATGACATGTCGTGTATATTATTATTTTTTTTCTCTCTTTTTCCACGCATAACTGGCAAGTTCGCATTGTAAAACAGACTTTCCTTAATGTCGGCATATAAAATCTAAGGGGAGCATTTGATTCACACATAACAAGATAGGCAAGACTATTTGGCACAAATTAGACGTCTCTTATGTGGATGGCATAGGTTCTTGTATGATACTATCAAAGAGGGGTATAGGGTCGATAATGGAAATTGTTTATCCCTCGCACTCAATCTATACCTCATTGTGCCTGTTCACAAAGTCTTTGACCTCATTACCCAACTCAACGCTTTCCTCGTCGCCTCCTGTTGCCAGCGATTCCCTCATCCGAGGTTCGGCTTAGCGCACACTCTCGTCTGCCGCGTTTTCCTTGGTCTTCCAAGTTTCTCATCTCTATTTGATGACCGGCGTCGCTGCTCTCGTCTGTACGACATACCCTTCTTGCACTCCGTTTCTTTCCGTGCCAGAGTCCATGTGCGTCCTTTTTGAAGTCGCTTAGTTGGTCATCCAAAGCATCCATTCCTTGGTCCCATGCTTCTCTGTTGAGATGAGCACCAGCGTCAATCAACTTATTCTTCTTTCGGATCTCCTGCCAGCGGGTCATGCTACCGAGTTCAAAAATATTCATACGGCGTTTCTTGCTAGTTGGGTTTCCAATCATGGCCGGCCGCCATGCCCTCTCCTCATCGAGTATCGCTTGTGAGTTATTAGGCATGGAGACTCTTCTAATGGTCGAACGTCGACGGGCCTCTACCAATCTATCCATTTCTTGTGATTTGGATTTCGGGACAATTTGAACTTCAGTAAAACGAAGAAGAATGACAAGCAACAAAACAGTCAATATGAGCAGGATCCCTGCTACCACGCCTGTAGAAACTTGCTGCCCCAAGGTTCTGGTCACATGGCCGCCTAGAGCGGTAGCACCAGCAGCAAAGAAGAATGCTAGGGAATGTATAGATGCGAATCCTGCTGTGACACGCGGGAACGATGAGTAATTGGTTCTCTTCTGATTCCTGCCGGAACCGCCTCTTTGGCGTCCAGTCATTCCTGGAGATAAATCGGAGCAATCAAAAGCCTCCATGACCAACCCGTTACATTCCGAGATGGCAAGACTGGAAAAGAACCCAACAAATCCTGAAAAGATTGTCGGTATGCTGACGTGTATTGGTGGTCCCGACGATACGGCTGCATAACAAATTCCAGCTAGAGGCAAGAGAAGTGTAAAGACAATCCGACGAACCAGGTGAGATGACCAAGCAACTTTCCTGTCCAGTGTGGCTAAATTGCTGTTCAACTGAGCTTGACGAGACCGCGAGAATAAATTGGCTTTTTGGAATGGTATTGCGAGAAGTGCACCCAACGCCATGCATCCAACAAATAAACCAACTTCAGTGGGCTGCATGTGATAAAACCGGGAAACAAGTGATCCCAAGAGGATGATGATCAGCACTGCCTGAGCGTAAATCCAGGCAGAGTACACTGTCAGGACTGCAAATCCTGGCTGGCGTAGCATTTCACAGCTAAGTGCGATGCCATGATACACCTCCTGTCCCCACCATTTGGGGCCCGTCTTCACTCGATGCATCATGATTTCGCCGCGAGCTACTCGCCGCGAGATATCTTCTCCAGTTCGGACTTCAGCCACGGAACGTCGATACGCTGATCGGCGAACCTCGGGACAGACAACGTTGAGAAAAAGCACAATGGCAATAGTTATGATGCTGACATAGAACCCCCAAGCTGGAGGGTGATTGTCGATAATGCCGGCCCCAACTAGAAACCCAACTCCTAGGGACCCAATCCAACACCAAGTCCAAATGCCTAACCATACACCCATGCCTCCGCCATGCCGCCGGGCATCAAAGTCATCGACGACTTCCTGATGAGGGTTGCAGCTCATAAGAGAGGCTCCAAACAAGTCGGTCAGGATGGAGTGAAAGTTCATACTCGCAAACCCGAGAGACGCTCCCATGAGCGTCCTGCTGGCCAGTAAAATGAATCTCCATGAATTAGCATTTCTGAGCCTCTGAGAATTGACGGCAAGGGCTTGAGGAAATAAAAGGGGCATAGCTAAGACCAAGCTGGAAAGAATATACGGCTTTCGTCCATGCAACAAAGGCAACGGCCAGAGGAAAAAGGTTGGCAAGGCTAGGCCGAGGAAGCAGCCGGTGTTCCCATGGACTATTAAATGAGACTGGTCAATGACATAGTATTGAATAGAAGGAACCAAACCGGAATATATTCCCAATATAACCCCAATTAGTCCCGTGCTTATGCATGCCACGGATGCGACGAATCGCTTTCGCAGAGGTGACTAGTCTCGAGCAATGGGTTGCCGCTTATGTGACTTTGCAAGACTAAATCCTTGAGCTCCTCTTAGGCTGACGTGCGATCGCCGGCGAAGGCTAATACTATGCTCTGTGTGTAAAGGTCTGCCAGCAATATCCCGCTCGGGAAGAATGTCTGCGCCGGCCGCTGGCTGTCGGTGTGGCGGATGATTTGTATGGGCATGATCCGGCTTCGTGGTTCTATTGTCGGGTCGTGTTTCTTCAGACGGCTTTTCGAGACCTGCCGTGAATTCTCTTACTTGATTTGTCTCAGGGTTTTGAATAGCTTGAGATATTACTTGGGTTCCGTTTTTGAGTTGCCCTGCGAAAACTGTGTTCAATTTCTTGCTGGACTTTCTACGGGGAATTTTCAATGCAACTCTCTGTCCAAGGCCTTGAACACTTTCCTGGTTGATCACCCTCTCGGAAGGGTGAGTTTTAAGAAACTCGTGGGGTCCTGAGTGTAGTTGGGCGGTGGGCGATCTTCTGGTCTGACCTTGGACTGTCTCGTATTCAGCGACTGCCGGGCCTAAATCGCCACCACTCCCATCCACACTTGGTGAAGCAAATGTGGTTCGAGAACCGCTGCCTTTTGCCATTCGGCTGCCGGTGTCTTGATATTGAGAACGACCACTGATGGATTGCTGCTTATATGCATCTTTTTCCCCAGTGGCAGATGGGTGATCGACAACCTGCATTGCAATTGCCAATGCCTCGTTCAAGAGTTTCTCTAGGTCGCTAACTGCACGTTTAAATCCAATGCGGTCAATTCTTGACAACTGGTTTTCAGGCGGTACGGAAAACCTGCCTAGCGATTTTGAGGAATCAGTGCTACACCGTACTGACTTTAGTTCAGGCAATGTATTACACTTTTGAGTATTTTGACCAGGCCGCCTTGTGTACTTTGGTGAGTGCGTTGGGGGATGTCTCAATACATCCTTCAGCCATTGAGTTGTGCGCTTATAATCGAACACGGAGGTTGCAGTCTGGGTGTGACACGAAGAGCCGTGTGAGCCTGGGGCCTGAGTCTGTTTATCTTTGTCCTGGGAGCGGCCATCCGAGTCTGTCATAAAATAGGACCTTCCATTCTGACGACTTTGCCGTAGACATTCCACACTTGGTCCTACTTTGGAGATGGAACTGTGTCCATAGTGTTGGAGATTGCTCGCGGTTTCACTATGGAAAGCAGGACGGATCTTGGAGACGGGTACTGGGGCATGAAGTATGCGAGAATATGATTCAGGAGTTGTATGTCTTCCAGCCACTGAACCAAGCTTCCTAGCCTGTGTCAAACGTTCTTCCAGCTGTGCATTTGAGGAAGGGTATTTAGGGCCAATCCCCTGGTCCAATGTTTCCCAATTTATTTCGGACAATTGCAACTTGAACGTTCGGGAGGGCACCCCATTGGTATTTTCCGGTGCCTCGCAACATGACGGACCGCCATCATTAGAAGACCCAGGCCTTCTGTCCAAGGAATTGAGCGCCTTGTCGGTGGTGAAACATAAGTTGTATGATGTGGGACAATCCTCTATCGAGTGATCACCGCTTGCCGGAGGCGCAATGTTTCTCGCTGAGGATGAGTGATGGTGGCCCTTGTGCGACCCAATAGTACTGAACGAATCGCCTCTGCACAAAACTTCGTTGACAATAGAGTCAAACAGTGGCTCAGTAGCGGGTTGAACTTTTGGGCCAAAAGTTGGGTACTCCTCAGTTCGCATGTCCAGGTTTGGCTCCAAGGCACATGGACGAACCTTGGATACCGGTACTGGTAAATCAATGTAGAGACCGTCGGCTGTTTCCTCTGAAACTTTCTCCGCTATTTGAACGAATAAATTCTTGCCTTCGACTTCAAAGAGTCGGCTGACCTTACCGATCTCAAGATGGCCAGAGCATCCATTTTCATTGTCGGCAGTGGTGTGTGAATCCCCTGCAGAGTTGTCCTGCGGCGACATTTCCCGAATGTTATTGAAAGAATCAGTCGTCGATTGCTGGGACATTGGATTGTCATCCATAGAATGACCTATGCATGCCTTCTTCTCTGTTAGGTCAAATGGAGTAACGGGTTTGTGATTGTGCCTGAAATTTAGCCCCTAGCTATCTCCATGTGCGACAGATTGATGTGTTGGACAATGTTCTTCTGCTGGTCGAACTTTAGAAACGAAACTATGCCCAGGATGATCTGCTATAAGTTTAGACTCATGTGGAGAATAAGAAACAATTTCAGGTGATGTCATGACACCCTTTTCTGCTGCTATAGCTTTGAAGTCTGGTGCTGAATTAGCCATCGATGGGGAGGATGTCGGTTTGAGCACTTGGCCAGGTCGGTGATGTTTAGCTAATATGACAGTTAGCATGATGCAAGAACCCATTTATGCTAAGTAGAGGATACTAACTTCGAAGTAAACAACTCGATGTTAATGGCTCAGGTACTCCCGACCGACGAACCTTGCCAACCACAGGCCCAGGAGGTCTCCGTAGACGATTTTTGACTTTGTCTTGGACTGTGACGCTTTGGTTTTCAGTCCCTAACCGTGAGACTCTTGTTGGCACCAGCTTTGCTATTGTATTGCGTACAGCACGACTCTTTTGATGAGTAGCCCAAAGCTCTCGGCTGGTGATTAATTGACTACTTTTTTCAGCAGGGCATGGAACTCGGCTATGGGCAGTCGCGGCTTTTATATCAGCGATACAGAGGCGTCTCTCCTCGCCACTAGCGAGCGACAGCGAAGGCCGGCTACTCTGGGGTGGTGTCTTGTCAAAATCGCCCGTGTCCGCAGGCGTGTCCTCGAAGGGCTCGTAGGCATGTGGATGGCCGAGAAGCACAGGGAACATTCCGAGGAGCACTGTTGCCGCAAATACGATGCTAACAAATAGACACTAGAGCGGTAGAGTCGCAGTTTACTGGGGGCTAGACGAGCTCGTTGGCTGGAAAATGTGGTGTGGTTTGGCTTGTGAGGAGGGAGAGAAGCACGTTCGATGCGATGGATGCATATAGAGTAAGGTTGTCGTCAGGGTTTGATAAGATATCGAACTAAGTTGGACAGATAAGAATGATACTAAAATATATTAAACCCGTAGCAAGGAATCTAAGAAGGGCAAGGGTACCGAAAGAGGTGCCAAAAGGGAGGCGAGGAAAAGAGAGGATGAGGGTGGTGATTCGGTAAGGGAACGCAACGGTTGGGATGAAGTGAATGATGGAATAAGACGAGGCTTTGCCACCTTCGCTTCGTATGTTGTAATATTTACCAACACGACGCGATGCGGGCAGCATTGATTGTGTTGCACCTGCGTGTTCTGTCGGCCTCGGAAGCGAATCAAGACATGTAAAATATGAAGGCACGCCAAGGCACCTGACGCCTTCTACGACTTTGAAGTCGCGCGTTGCTGGTGGTCACATTACCCGCAGTGCGCACAAGCGGAAGGAGCGGCGCCTTCGCATACTTCCTTGATCTGGATCAGTGACTGGCAGAACTTGAGCTAGGCAAGCCGTCCACACGCCCTCACAGGTGCGCATTTACACATCTACACTCACAAAAAAATTTGAAGATTCGAATTGACTGCATCTACCGACCAATCGGGCCATGCTGGGCCATGTTGGGCCAGGACATGCACCATCACTCCAATCCCTGAACCCTGGCGCCTTATGCTGCAACCTCTGGCGGATCAATTCAACCACCCAGTTACCTGATAGGTGAGCAAACTCCCGACTACCAACTTTCAACATCGGACGATTCAACCCAGCACAGGCGAACACGACGCACGTCCCAGCATCCGTTCCGACACATCTCATCCCTGTCATGCCTGGCACCCCAGGCAGCTGCCTGTGCACCACCAAACCCGGGCGGAGGGCGCCAAGCGGCTATTTTGCCTCTCTTCCCTTCCCGCCATCCGCGAAACCGCAAGGCCATCGGGAACCACTTGGCCTGTTACGAACGTTTCTGCCGGTCCAACAAATCAGGTTCCGTCTTAACCCTCCTCTCTGCTCGGCACTCGAGTAAAATACTAGCAGAATGCATACTAGCATATGGGCCGCCTCTCCACACCCAGACATCCAGGTCCGCCCAATCAGGCAAACTATGCTTTAGGAGTCGTATGTATTACGGGCTATTTTTGGTTCCCCCAAATCGCGTGGCGAACCACACCAAAGCTTGGAGGGTAGGGCGAAGAGAAGCGCGGTGCATGCATTTGGATGAGCCCGGAACTCGGGTTGCTCCAGGGGTTTCAATCCTTTTGGTTTGCGACTGTCACATAATTCTTAGATCTGAATTGGATCTGAAACACGGCCACCTGTGTGCTTATGTACTACCGTAAATCGAGTCTGTATGTCTACGTGTTTTTGATCAAGTCTAAAACGAATTGAGAAATCTCAAATTGCTACAATCATTGTCAATGTACATTGTCACAGGTTTGGAACCTCGAATCAAGAGACGTCAACTCTTTTTATTTAGTTGGTTATTGTTATATGGCAGCCAGTGCCACGTAGCCTATGTGCTAATTTGTATCTGACGATTCCAGACCGCCACGCCGTGATTTCTGTGTCCAGCACAGAGGTATCCAACATGATGGGACCATAGTCCTGACATGTTTGCAATAACAAAAAGAGACTAAAAAAAATCAAGAACAAAAGAGAACAGGAGAAGAAACGCTTCATCACAACATCCCCTGCAAAAAAACAAGCCAAAAGGAAAAAGACAAGTGAGGCAGCCACAAGCCACCCAATTTCCATCGCCACGGGCACTGAGTGAGCCCAGATCAACAAAACATTACCGTATGTCATAAGCATCCAAACGCCGCCATATATCCCACCTTTTTTTTCCCCAAGTACATCATCACATATCCGTAAGCAGAAGCACACCCGTGAGGCAGTGCGTCATGAATACGAGAAATCTAGGCCCGAGTCTTGTCAAAACGTCACCCTGCTGAGGTATATCAGCTAAGACCTGAAAGTCCAAGCGTCGTAAACGAGAATCTTGTTTGCCAGCCCCATGTCAACCAAGTCTCATCAACGGCGTCACATGGTCCTAGCCAGAAAGGAAATCGAGTGAGAGAGCGGGTGCGGAGTGGGGAATCTCACGCAGAGAAAACAGAAAAGACAACAGAGAAGAATTAAAAAGCAAACACTCCAAGAAGGACCAAAAGGGTTGTGGTCCATGATTGGCCTGGAGATGACCAAGTAGAGTTCAAACGGGGCCAAGTGCCCGTGCCAAACGTAATCCGGGATCTGACAGAGCGGTGTATTGTTACATCAGTTCAATGTTGAACCGCGTGACGGAGATTGGAGGGGAATCGAAAGGTCATAATCTCATATCCGTGTCTTCGGTAAGTTGTTGCGTAGCTCATGACGTAGTCGAGAAAGATGCGAGAAAAACAGCGTGAAAAGTCGTGGGCACAAAGTATTGACGCAGCGAGTCACAGCAGCATCTAGTCCGTTGAGATGGACGCCCTGGGTCCATGTCTGGCGTGACCAGCAAGCAACGAGGCGAGTCTAGACGGATTGGATGAATATAGGTAGCTCACCCAATCTTGAAACTCGAACACCTCCAGCCTGGTGAAATGCCAAGCCTGGCAACCCGTCACCGAAGACAAAACATTTCACCGGTAGCTCTTATGGCTGGACCGAGAGCTATAGTAGCCTGAATCAGAATAGGTGTGTTGTGACGCATATTGGGCGGCTTGACTCGAGTGTGCGCTGCAGGCATAGCCGACATAGATGGTGCGTTGTTGAATATCGTGGCCAGGTCTACCATAGGCTGCACATCGATCAATTGCATGTTGGTAGTAGAGACACCGGCATGCTGAGTACAACTCGACGAGTTGGTAGCACATATCTAATCTAATGCAGTAGATATAGTTTGAAAAGGATTTGCAGTTCCTGCCTGCACGGATTGTATCCAAGGCCGCAGTGCGCCAAAGGCCAGCTAAGGTCTGATTATGGGGCAAACAGAAACGAATTGTAATTGTATCCCTATCTTGATAGCAGGAAGAATCCCTCCAACTGAATCTTGTTGATGTAGGTGCGAGATGTGTGCGTTGCGGGCTGATGTCGAGCCGTGATGTAGGCAGAGCGATGGGATTCGAAACAAGAAAGCCGAGACGATATTGTATAAAGGAAACAAAGACGGGAAAGAAATTAGTTTGAAGAGAAGGTCGTGTGCTATGACGAATATAGATAGAGGCAGGCCAAGGCAGGAAACGAGGAGACATCGTAGCCTTATAGGCACGGCAGCCTAGAGGCAGGCTGGGTCTGGAGTCCATGTGTAGAAGGGAAGGTTGAATGAAGCCCACGAGGCGTCAACTCGGCTTTGGCACATATCGGCACGCCCTCCCAGGCTGGATGGATGGGCGGAGACTCTCACCAAACTTCACACCTTGGGACAAGCTTCAAAGTACAATGAGAGAACGGGGAGCAGCAAGGCATCAGCCAAGCCGCATATAGAAAATGATGGAGACGGCTCTGACTAACCTGACAGGTGACGAGAGTGTGGACGACGGTCTAATGCAGCCGTGCTGTGACAAGGCAAGGCCAGCGCAGGCAGAGGGCGAATCGACGCCGGGGAAGCTCACGGCAAGGTCCTGGCGCAGCACCGGACCAAGCTCACCATTGAAGCAAAGACCCAGAGGAGTCCAGTATGGCGCGGCGGAGGAGTCACTTGCCCGGGCTGTTTGGCGAGGGGGGCGTGTGCGCGAGTGCCCTGGGAACAGGTTCCATGTTGCGGGTACTTCAGATCAATACTGGCACGGGCTGGGAAAACGTCCAACGTCGATTGCGTGGGTGCGTGTGCGTGTGCAGTTGACCTCGTCAACTCGCTGTGGCCGGAGTTGGGGGTCTTTTTTGCGGACCCAGTGCCATTTCGATGGGAACGGGCGCCAGTGGAGAGCTGGGGCCTGCAACTGCCTTGCGAATGCCTGCAATGGACAGGCTAGCCAGCATCAAGGCCAGTCATGGTCAGTCTAGGACTGAAGGGGCCAGACGACACAGAGTTGACCTGCAGCAGGG